AGCTAGCTACCTAGCACACTGCTCGCTATCTATCTACCTAGCTCACTACTTGCTAGCTAGCTACCTAGCTCACTCCTTGCTAGCTAGCTACCTAGCTCACTCCTTGCTATCTGGCTACCTAGCACACTCAATGCTAGCTAGCTACCTAGCTCACTCCTTGCTATCTGGCTACCTAGCTCACTGCTTGCTAGCAAGCTGCCCTGCTCACTCCTTGCTAGCTAAATACCTAGCTCACTTCTTGCTAGCAAGCTGCCCTGCTCACTCCATGCTAGCTCCAATACCTAGCTCACTTCTTGCTCGTCTTCATCGACGAAGGAAGTCGCGTTTCATTTCTATTTTTACGATCTATTATAAAACGACGGAAGAATCTCCCGATATCGACGAGCAGTAAGAAAGTTATAAAATCTGGACACGAACACGAGCGGCTAATAAAATTTGCAAGGAGTGAAATTCGGTGGGGTTTTATCGGGCGGCGGGGCAATCAAAAATTTACAATCGAATTTACCCGCGTCGTGTCCCGATTCGAGTCGACTCGTAACACGCTTTTGTATTTAGCGCCGCGATCGAAGACAACCCCCGCCGTGTATTTTATTGTACGAGTATATCGCGATACCCCGGAATACGAGTTCCGGGACCGATTGTTCCACCCCTCGATTCGATTTTCACCGATATTTTCGCGGGAAAAAGTTGGACGATAAATTTGCTCGTCGAAAAAAAACGCATCGCGAATCGACGGAATTGAATGCCACGGCTGGCAATATCGTAAACGATGCTGAAACCATGAAAGCCAACGCTCTATAAAAGTTTCGTGGTTCCTGTTTTGAAAAGCTCATTCGTAAAATATTAAAAATACAGAATAAATTGTATTAAAATTGTTATATCCCGGATGTGTTTAGAGAGATCTTTCTGTAGAGGGTGATCGATGACCAGAGATTCTATGATCAACCCTTCTCAAATCCAAACCAAAGAGATATCGTACACTTGAAAGTTACGAAATGCAACAGTGTAAATAAAACAGATATTTTAACAGGTTTCAAATAAAACACTTAAAGAAATGAAAGTTACAAACGCGTACAGGAAGAAAATAATTCAATGGAACGCGATGAAATATCCCGTTCCTGATTACGGTAGTCGGAATTAAAATTAAAACCTGATACAGAAATCCTCTGGAACGGATATATGTGCATGGAATTCTGCATCGTGTTTATTTTAAATTAAACTACTTTTTTCCTGGTATCAAACGCTTCTACGAATATTCTTCTTTTTATTCACGTTTAAAATTAATATGGAAAATTGGAAACGCATTTCAGGTATTAATATCGAACAAAGTTCGTCTCTAATCTGATAAAGTTTGCCCGAAAAAAGTCGAAAAGTGTCGCGACGTGCTCGTTTCGCAGACGTCGAAGACCTTAGAACTTCTCGAATTTTTTTGTAGAAAGTGGCTAGGATTTCGACGATATGTCTGATGACCAAAAATTATTGTAATTGAACCCCACGATCGAAAATAATTTTTTTAAAAAGATTTGAAATTTTTTAATTTCGTCGAAAAATGTCATACATTCTCGAATTTTTTTCTCGAAATTGCGTAGGATTTTGGGGGTGTCTCTAATGACCAAAAATTATTGTAATTGACCCCCGCAATCGAAAATAATTTTTTTAAAAAGATTTGAAATTTTTTAATTTTGTCGAAAAATGTCATACATTCTCGAATTTTTTTCTCGAAATTGCATAGGATTTTGGGGGTGTGTCTAATGACCAAAAATTATTGTAATTGACCCCCGCAACCGAATATAATTTTTTCAAAATGATTTGAAATTTTTTGTTTCCGTCGGAAAATTTCACAACTTCCTGAATTTTTTTCTCGAAAGTGGATAGAATTTCAGGGGTATGTGTATTCACCAAAAATTATTGTAATTGACTCCCACAACCGAAAATAATTTTTTTAGATTGATTTGAGAAAATTGTTTTCACCGAAAAAAGTTCACATCTTCTCGAATTTTTTTCTCAAAAGTGGATAGAATTTCAGGGGTATGTCTATTCATCCAAAATTATTGTAATTGACTCCCACAACCGAAAATAATTTTAATTCAATATTTGAATAACTTTTTAACATAGCCTCAGTCAAGAAATGGATATTCTTGATTTTCGTATTATTTTGGCCCCTAGAATCTTCCATTTAAATGTTTTGTCAGGGTTCGTCGAACAGCCTGTATAATCGGAAGTATAATTAACTACGTAGACTCCGTCTGGGTAGAAATTGATACGGAATTGACTATCATGGCCGTCGTTTCTTCGCGAAATTAGGTACGTCGAAGGAACGGGGAGATCAAAGCACCTCGAGGGATGACATTTTCCACGCCTCCCCGAGCATTCGCGAAGTCGATGACACGTCGAACGGGTATAAGTCGATGAAATTGGTCCAAGGCCGTCGCAACTACCCTACAAGAGACAATAAGAGGGTGAGGGAAAGCAATTTCAATAACCTCCGTTACGTTGGAAATCGATCGTTCCTCCGGCATGAAGAAACGCGACGCACCCTCGAGGATCGCGCCTTTCACGAACTACCGTCGTTTTCAATTAGTACCCACTCACGGACCCTCGCTACACGCATTCCTCTACACGATCCATAACGCGTGTCCAACTACAAACGTCGAACAAACAAATCCACACATTTTATTTACTTTTTTCCCCACCAAGACGAACACCTTCGCTAGCTACCATCGTTTTCAATTAATTTGCAAACAAATCTTTTTATTTATTTTTTCCCCACGATGATCGACAACCTCTCGATCGTTCAAAATGGCCACTTTTGAACGTTGTTACTTGGTTTATCATGAACAAAAGAGGATCCATAACCCGTGTCGAACAAACAAATCCACACATTTTATTTATTTTTTTTCCACACAAAAACGAACACCTTCGCTAACTACCATCGTTTTCCATTAATTTTCACGAACATCGAGCAAACAGATCCAAACTTTTTATTTATTTTTTCCCCCACGATGATCGACACCCTCTCGATCGTTGCAAATGGCCACTTTGGAACGTTGTTCCTTGACTTGCCGTGAACAAAAGAGGATCCCAGAAATTATTAAATCGTAGTCGAAGGTCTCTACCTTGTGGAGGTATTCAATGGCGGGGAACAAGCTCGTGGAGCGTGTCGAAATCGTCTGAATACTAACAGTCTTCGAGAGCCTCGTTGCAGAGACGCGAATCCGGATCGAGTGGATCGATTCCATCCGGAACGCCGTGTTCCCGTTGAAAAGAATAAAAGGACCCGGTTACGGAACAATCGGTGGAATCAATCGCGATTCAACTCGAGTCGCCGCTATATTTATAATCTTAGAGGGGGGGGATACGAGTGCTGGAGTTTAATTTTAAATTCCAGCCTGATCACCGGTTATCGGATGAACGGGTCGAAGAGTGGTAGCGCGATTAAGGTTTCCCCGATAACGCATGACTGAATTTCCTCCTCCGGGGGGGCGAAGGAGCTGGTAAGCAATATAACTACGAGAAAGTCGATTCTTCGAAGTAACAGAATTTTCATTTTTTATTTTCAGATCCTCGATGTTGCTGTGACAAAAAAAAAACAGGCGCTAAAGTGAGCTTATCTTGAAGCTCTGTACGAATTTAACGACGTTTGTCGGAGACATAATTCTCGCGATACTCAACGGAGCTCGATCGATAACGTCAATATTTTCCGCCACCTTTGTCACCCTTAATTCCCTGGTAATTAAATATCCCCCGTAGCATTTGCATAACAGAGTTTTATTGGCTGTTAATACTGTTCCTGATACAGTCGCCGCGGAACGTACGTCGACACGTCTAAAAAGTGCATATTTTCTATTTCGAATCAATAATTTAGAAATTGATCGAAAGTATATATCAGGTATGTTATTTGATAAAATACAAACTAGTATGCGCAGCACCAAAGAGGACGTAAAGTTTATAATAACGACAGAAGAAATTAAATAACTTTTTTATCGATCGCGGAAAGTACGTTGACAGCATCGAAAGATTCGTAATCACTTAATAATTACGTGTATAATTAATAATTAATAAATACACTTTTATTTCCCGGAGTCTTCTATTTGAAACTGCCCCTCCAAACAAATCCATACTTCCGAAACATGTCAACGTACATTCCGCGACGACTGTAGGATTCGATGCTATCCGGAGATTGTTTTAGAACGTTCGTAACAGTGGAACTTATTACGAATCCGGTTGCCGGATTGTCGAGTTCGTCAACGACGCTTTAAAGTTTAAACGATACACCCCTCAGCCGCGTTAAATACTTCCGGGTGAGTCAAAGGGTAATAAGTAATTTCCCGATAGACCAGCCCCGGCGAATTTAACAGAAATTTATACGGTTTTAAGTAAATTGATTCAAGACAACGGTGCAACTCGATTAGTTCGCAGCGGTGCTGTTGCATGAAACATGACGCTCGGTTTCAACAAGTAGGAAGTCAAAGAGACTGTGTAAACGCGGGATACACGGGGAAAGTTCAATTTTCGGCGGTCGAACAACCTCGGTTTTCAACCTGCGCCCCCAAACGTTACAAAATTTACACGTTTCGTGGAAGAAACTTCATTTGTTCCTTCGAACTCTGTACACTTTAAATCTCCATCAAAATTAATTGTTGGATTATTAATAAATAATCGTTAGAAAACTGAATCTAACAGTGAGAAACACTGTCCATTGTCTGCATACCAGGCTTAGGGAAATAAACACGATGCAGGCAACGGTTTCTTTCCTTTTTAAGCGGACACCAGATTTTCTTTTAGGGGATCTGAGTTAGGGGATTCTTCTTGTTCAGTTTTAACAGAGCAAAGACGTCCTTCCAAACCACAGAATAAACTTTTACAGTGTTTCACTTTTGCTTGCAAAGTGTACCGCTTTTTCACCCAATTCCAATATTAATAACCGTATTTTCGTAAATGCAACGTTACAAATGCTCCTGTTGCCTGGAGAACAGTAAACTAATTTGCATTCGTTTCAGATTTACTTTACGGTGCTGGCGCTGACCACCGGCAGCGTGCTGCAGAGGGAAACGCAATACCTGAAAGGGAATCGTTCGTTGCCAGAATCCACCAGCTTCCTAGAACCGGACACCATATCCCCCAGTGAGTATTCATCTCGCTACATCACTCTCGATTCACCACGGTTATAGACACCGAGTACAGCACCCAGCAAAACACTAATTGATAGATAACCAAGACCCCCCCCCCGCGTATGTATACCGCTTTTCGTAGTCCACACTCCGTCGAACAAAACGGAAACGATAACGTCTCACGTGCAACTGCTTCTATTGCTTCAGCGACGGTACGGATTAACATGACGCTGCTTGTATGCTCGTGCTGCGGTGTGATTTGCAGCATCCTGCTTCTCTATGGCCTGTTCAAGGTAAGACGTATCCCCAAACAAGACTCCCAGTCACGCTCTCCACCGTTCAATGAATTTTATTCCTGTATTTAGGATCACGGTAATGATAGATTCGTTGGATCGATCTTGGCCGATGCTCGTAGACGGGGCGTTTGTCACGGTTTGTTCGAGTTTCACGACGCTCGAGGACGGAATTACGCGCGATGGAATAATTCTCCGGAAGTTTCGGTCGCTCGAGAAGGTCGGGAAAAGCGGGACGGAGTCCAGAGACCCGGATAAAAATCAATCGGCTTCGCCGAGAACCATCGAGTCGTTTAGTTCTCATCGCGCTCTATCTCTTATCTTCGAAATGGGAATCGTTTCTGGCGCGATTCGCGGCTAATCGAGTTCAACCTACCCTGTGATTCGAATATTCTTCATAAAATCGAAATCTACTATTGCGCCTATCGCGGCAGACATTTTACGAACATCTGACTTCGTGAAGTAGAACTCGTCGACGTTCTGAATAGCTCGATCGATGAAGTAATCTGGCCTGGGGCGGATGAAAGGTCCGAATTCGATTGAAAATTTTCTTGTGCATTTGGCTTCGTATCGATTTCTGAAATTGTTCACGCGGTTATACTTTTCATGTACAAAAAAAGAAATTCCTCTTCGTCAATTTTTGCAACCGAGAGTATACAGAGACGATTCGAGCGGACGGGGATAACGAAGGTAGAAAAGCGTAGGAGCAGAACGGTGTTATCCGCGACCGCCTTGCGGATTTGGTCGCAGATAGGGCGCCCAGGTAGCTGGGATATTGTTTTTCGTAGAAGCGGTTCCGAGGGTCGGAGATAAAATTGGAGAAGGAACTGCTAAGGGGAACGTAACAACCACTATAAATAAGCTTCCGTGTATACTGAAATTTCCTCTCGTACGTACACTGGATGATAACAATATACCAGTGCATCGAACGAAATTTGTTATTTAGAAAAATCTGGAATGTAATGGAAACTGGTCATCGTTAGCAATTTTGTTTTTTAATCCACACCTGATACAGGTGATTAATGGTAGATTTTGGAGGTCAAAATAAGACGAACATGAAGAATGTCAATTTGTTGTGACTCCGTTAAAAAGTTCTTCAAATTTTTTCAAATCGTTCTAAAAAAATTATTTTCAGTTGTGGAAGTCAATTACAATCATTTGTGGTCATTAGGCATACCCTCGAAATCCTAGCCACATTCAAGAAAAAAATTCGAGAAGTTGTGAAATTTTGCGCCGGAAAAAAAAATTTCAAATCATTTTGAAAAAATTATATTCAGTTGTGGGAGTCAATAACAATCATTTTTTATGAATACACATATCCTCAAAATCCTACGCACTTTTGAGAAAAAAATTCATTACCGAATACGACTGACCAATGGTTGACCAATTCTCTTGAAATTTCATGCGAATCTTTAAAAAATCATAACTCCTGAACGGATCGGTCGATTTTAATGTTTCAAACGGCAAACAATGCGTATTTTGGCGGAGAATATGGAAAAATTCTAAAAATATTCGAAAAGTTGGTCCTTCACCCCGCAAAATAAGAAAAACCCCCATAAAAATTGTCCAATTTTCAAACAGCCATAACTCTTACAATATTGAATAAATTTCTATGAAACTTTTTTCTGAAGTAGAGCTAATAGATACCTACAGAAAAGTACTAGAAAACTTTTCCGTAGCACGTCAAACAAAATTATTAAAAATGAAAAACGCAATTTAGGATTAATCGACAGTGGGTAGGTGCCTAAATTTTTCGGCGAAATTGAAAAGTTCCAAATCACTCTGGGAAAATTATTTTCGGTTTCTGGGGTCAATTACAATCATTTTTGGTAAATATACATACCCCCGAAATCTTGTGCATTTTCGAGAAAAAAATTCGACTAGGTGCTGAAATTTTCGGTGAAAAAAAATGTTTTCAAATCATTCTAAAAAAATTATTTTCGGTTATGGGGGATAATTACAATAATTTTTGGTCATTAGACAAACCCTCGAAATCCTAGCCATTTTGAAGAAAAAAATTCAAGAAGATGTGAAATTTTTCGTCGAAAAAAATTTTTTCAAATTGTTTTAAAAAAATTATTTTCGGTTGTGGGGGTTAATTACAATCATTTTTGGTCATTAGACAAACCCTCGAAATCCTAACCACTTTAAAGAAAAAAATTCGAAAACATGTGAAATTTCTCGCCGAAAAAAGATTTATTCAAATCGTTTTGAAAAAATTATATTCGGTTGCGGTGGTCAATTATAATCATTTTTGGTGAACAGGCCTACCCCTGAAATCCTACTCAGTTTCGAGAAAAAAATTCGAGAAGGTATGACATTTTTCGACGAAATTATAAAATTTCAAATCGTACGAAAAAAATTATATTTAGTTTCAGGGGCCAATTGCAAGCATTTTTAGTCATTAGACATACCCTCGAAATCCTAGCCACTTTAAAGAAAAAAATTCGTGAAGTTGGAAAAGTTTTCGACGGAGAAAAAAAATTTCAAATCATTTTGAAAAAATTATAATCATTTGCGGGGATCAATTACAATAGTTTTTGGTCATTAGACATACCCTCGAAATCCTAGCCACTTTCGAGAAAAAAATTCCAGAAGGTGTGAAATTTTTCAACAAAATTAAAAAATTTCATAATCGTTCCTGAAAAATTATTCTCGATTGCGGGGGTTAACAAGTTATTAACGTTTACTTACTGGCGTGTCGACAGCCATACAGTTTTGTGAGTGAGAGCCACTATCACGTGTAACTTAATAACTCATTAACGAAATCTCAATCAACAAATTAACATTCTTGATTTTCCTCTTATTTCGACTTCCACTAAAATTTTTCCCAGGATTGGCCAAACACTCCGTAAGATTATCCTATTTCGCTTCTCCACGAATCTCAAAAAGCTTCCAAAAAGAGAAGATCGTTAAGGAAAAGTCACGTATACCGGAAAGATGTCCTTTTGTCCTGTTTAAGGAAAGTCCTGTGTAGCGTAATCCGGCCAAGCATTCCTGTATCCCTCGTAATCGACGTCTTATCGCCCTCGTATCGGTCCTGCTGTTAGTTTGTCCCAAACGACGGACAAATCCCCACCGTGTAAACCGATGCAACTTTTATCATCGTCCTAGTGAGAAATCCTAGCCACGAATTATTTCCCCGCGAAGAGAAATCTCGCGTCGGGTTCGTCGAATCGAGGAAAACATCGTTCACAGAATTGCCCGTTGACTTTCGAACGTGTCCCTCACGGGTTTCAGCTCGTAAATTTCCCGGGATAAACAGGAAAAGTTTCCGCGAAAGAGGCGATCCTTCAACGGAATATTTATTACGGATTAACGAATATGCATCGCGGTGATTTATGCAGCGACCGTCGCGATAAAAAAGGCAGCGGTGGAAGTACAATTAATTGGGTAATTAGAAAACACGGTTACGCGGGGAAAAGCTGTTCAAACGAGACCAATGTTGCAATGTTTTCTTTATTATTAGAGAAGATAGTCGAGAGGTTCCTTTCGAAGCGTGTTTTTTCGTAAAAAAAATGATCGAAAGTTCTCTGTGCTTGTGAGCAAGGAAGTAAAAATGAAATCTTTGAAAACCAAGGGGAGAAACGGGATGATACTCCGGCATGTACAGTGAACAGGGGGTGCAGGAAATTTACGATCGAGATAAGCCCAGCACGCCCTTGACTGACATCGTTCGACCGCGAAATTTCTTCGAAAATTCAGATCCCCCGGGCCAGTATTGGATCTTCGTTATCCCCCTGTTGGATCTAGCGTTCATGCAAACTCGAAATCGAACGTTCTTTTTTAAAAAAAAACATCGACAAATAGCAGAGTTCACGCGGTTGAAAATACAATTTTATTTACCTTGAAATTTCACGAAAAATGTCAAAATAAATTCTCAACGCAGTATATTTCGCTGTAGTTTTTGTTTTTTAACGTTGCATTACAATTAGCAATGGATCGATGAACAAGGCAATCGGGCACCGTCGAAAAGGTTGAATTTCCATAAACGTGTATCGTTACGTTGCATTAAAATAACCGCTACTCGGCCCATTTATATTACCGTACTCCGTGAGATGGAAAATTGAATCCTCTTGCGAGTAAGTACCTCCTGGAGAGTATGCTCGGGAATACGACGCAGGATTGTAAGATCCTCGAGCCTGGCTCAAGGAAGACTAACCATTCGCATTGAATAGTCGATTCACTCTGCTAATGGTAACGCGAACGTGGCTATATTCGTTACCCAGGGAGATCTATTCCAAGAAATTGACATTGAATAGTCAGGACACGAGGATTATTCTAACTCATAAAATAATAGATATTTTTTACGTTACGTTTTAGACGTGAGAAAAGATCGACGGATGACAAACGGACGTGCCATTATCTTCTCCGATAAGACGGTTCGAAATGTCGGAAACTGATACTCCCCGGCGTCCAGCTATTTTTAGCGGGACGCGTTCTTAACATTTTCATTTGTCCGAGCGGATAAAAACGTCCTCCGGAATCTATTTCGCCGACGACAGTCGCGATGAGGCTATCGACGTGCTCCGTAAATATCCTCCGGAGGATATCGTTTTGCGATAGATAATCGTACGACGGCTCCTTCGTAACGAAATTTTAAATAGGATATATGTATCAGGAACTGTATTAACAGCCAGTAAAACTCTGTTACGCAAATGCTACGGGGGATATTTAATTACAAGGGAATTAACCCCTTAACGCTCATGCCCGAGTCTGACTGCTTTGAAAGACGATACTTCTTTGATCTAATTGTTTAAGGGATGACAATATTTGTTTTTCTTCGAATTATACGTCGGATACAACATTGCAATTAACGAAAACCGCATTTTTATACAACTTGGAAACAAATCCAATAAAGAACACTGATCATTCTTGGTTAACCCGAGAAATTTGAGCGTTAAGGGGTTAAGGGTGACAAAGGTGGTGGAAAATATTGACGTTATCGATCAGAATGTACTTAATACGCAAAAAACTACGAAGCTCGCGTTTCGTTAATTCTATGTTGTCCAGCGCCTCCTGTACTCGCCACCAGAGGCGCTCTACGCTCTTGTCTCTCTCGCAAGTGCTCGACAGACCTCTCCATTTGGAAGTTCTATCGTCTATCGACAACGTGTGTGAATATTTATAAATACGGGGTCGAAAAACAGTTGGTTTTCCATTGAATAGACAATTCCATATAACTTTCTCGAGCTTCTTCTCGTCGCTGACATTAATTTAAGCCATCAGAGGGCTACGCTCTTGTCTCTCTCGCAAGCGCTCGACAGACCTCTCCGTTTGCAAGATCTACAGTCTATCGACAACGTGTATAAATATTTTAAAATACGTGGTCGAGAAACAGTTGACTGTCCATTGAATAGACGATTCCATAGAACTTTCTCGAGCTTCTTCTCGTCACTGTCATTAATTTAAGCCATCAGAGGGCTACGCTCTTGTCTCTCTCGCAAGCGCTCGACAGACCTCTCCGTTTGCAAGATCTACAGTCCATCGACAATGTGTATAAATAATTTTAAAATACAGGGTCGAAAAACAGTTGACTGTCCATTGAATAGACGATTCCATAGAACTTTCTCGCGATCGTCGCTGACGCTAATTTAATTCACGCTGACTTTTATTTACTTCGCGGAGGATGCAGAATCCCCGATTCCGTAACTAAATATACTAGTCTGTCGGGTCGACGTTCCCCCGTCTTATCGATCCCCTCATCCATTAATCACCACGGGCGGCGAAACCGTTGCGTCTATTTCGCGACGTTAACCCCGTCATAAATAACCGCGTTTCGCCAAGATCTCCATATTCGCGGTCTCATCGCGTTCCCTCCTTCCGACCATCCGTCAACCCGTATACGCGTCAGTTTTAATAAAAAGAACATCCCCCAACGCGCGTCTTCGATACATTTCCCCGCCGTTTGCTCCAATTTCGCTATTGTTTATCGCTCCCGACCGACGCCGATTAATCATCCGCGCGTTTTAATGCGGATACACGCCGGCACGAGGGATTATGGGATCTAGATTGCGTTTTGACGGAAGAATTTGTCTTACGAGCTCGCATTGATTTACGCGCCTCCACCGGGGATAAGGAAATTCGTAACGCGAACGATAAATCGTAACGGGAATGCTCCATTTTGGTTTTCACTGAACGCACGTAAAAATTACGATTAACCCTTTGCACTCCTATGTCGAGTGTGATTCGACAAGGAGCTCCTTTTCGACATTTTTTCAAGTCCAAACCAAAGAGATACTGTACACTTGAAAATTACAAAATAAAACAGATATTTCAACAGGTAAATTTCAAATAAAACACTTAAAGGCGTTTGGGAGCTGCTGGTAACAAAATTGGAATATAATTCGGAGTGCAAAGGATTAAATTGTTCGGTTTCGTAAGAATTCGTGTCTTTTTTGCACCGTTAAGTACATTCTGTGGTTTTTTGAGGATCAAACATCCGCAAAGCGAGTTTCCTTTCGGTGTGGTGCTTTGTGAGTTTTAAGCGTTTCTGTGTACGCTTAAATATACGATCGTACGTAACGGAAGTTCCGTGCAAGAAGCTCCTGGTCGATTTAAATCGTCGGTTTCGAGGCAGCCCCCGTCGCTCGAATGCAGTCGAAGGCGGAAAATCGTTTCTTTATGGGCTTCCATGAGCACCGTATTGCTCGGCGTGTCGGATTTTTATGGGGCCTCGCGAAAAAGCGAACTGTGTGTCGTCTTAACCCCTTAACGCTCTATTTTTCGGGTCAACCAACGGTGATCAGTTTTCTTTAGTGGATTTGTTTCGAAAAATGTTGTATCTAACGTATTATTTGAAGGAAAACAAATGTTATCTCTTAACCCGTTCGGATTGAACAAATATTGTTTTTTTAACGTTGAGGGGTTAAAAACGACATCCCCTGTTTCTCTTCTGATGTCTGTTCGGTTCGATTTAACGTTTCGTGTGATTTTTCTTAATATTGCAACAGGTTTAAAATTTACTCAAAAATTGAAAGGGGATTCTCGAGTGAACAGAGTTAAAATTGTCCTTTTTTAATAGTTTTCGTGAAGGATTAAGAGTTGTAAGTGCTTCTTAGGAACACCCTTTACGCGACTCTATTAACGAAACAATGGTCTCGCTATACAGGATGAACCAATAACAATTACCAGCTTGATATATCACTGATATTCTCGCGCCGGTGGTAAAGTTTTTCAATAAACGCTGTTGAGGTATTAAAGGGGGCCATCATGTGGTTGTAACGATCTTTGCGCAGGCGGTGTTGCTTACGAGACACCAAAGTATCCTCGCCTCCTCTCGTGGAATATTATATTCTTCTATTTATGATCTGAATGTCTCTTGTTAATTTCGTTTTCCCTTACATGGGGGACGTTTCCAGGCTAGCGAGCACATTACACGCATATGGCCACGATTGTCGCTAGAAGAAAGTATTACACAACATTTCCGTGCAGTGTCAAACAATTGTATTAAGTATGAGAGACAAATTTTTGAGAAAAATGCCTAAGAAAGGTACCTAAATATTTCGACAAAATTCAAAAATTTCAAAACGTTCTGGAACAATTATTTTCGGTTGCAGGGGTCAGTTACAATCATTTTTTGTGAATAGACATACCCCCGAAATCTTATGCAATTTCGAGAAAAAAATTCGATTAGGTGTTGAAATTTTTCAGCGAAAAAAAATTTTTCAAATCGTTCTAAAAAAATTATTTTTGGTTGTGGGAGTCAATTGCAATAATGTTTGGTCATTAGACATACCGTCGAAATCGTAGCCATTTTCATGAAAAAAATTCGAGAAGGTGTGAAATTTTTCGACAAAATTAAAAAATTTCAAATCGTTCTGGAAAAATTATTTTCGGTTGCGGGGGTCAATAACAATCATTTTTGGTGAATACACATATCCCCGAAATCCTACGCACTTTTGAGAAAAAAATTCTTTACCGAATACGTCTGACCAGTGGTTGACCAATTCCCCTGAAATTTCATGCGAATCTTTAAAAAATCATAACTCCTGAACGGATTGGAGGATTTCAATGTTTCAAACGGCAAACAACGCGTATTTTAATGAAGAATATATAGAAATTTCAAGACCATTCGAAAAATTATTTCTTAACCCCGTAAATTAAGAAAAACTCCATGAAAATGGTCCAATTTTCAAACGACTGTGACTCTTACAATAATGAATTAATTTCAATGAAACTTTTTCGTGAAGTAGAGCTAATAGGTACCTACAGAAAAGTATTAGACAACTTTTCCGTAGCACGTCAAACAAAACTATTAAAAATGAAAAACGAATTTTTAAGAAAAATCGACAGGGTGTAGATGCTGAAATTTTCGATAAAAAAAAATTTTTTCAAATCGTTCTAAAAAAATTAGTTTCGTATGTGGGGGTCACTTACAATCATTTTTGGTCATTAGATATACCCTCGAAATCCTTACCATTTTCAGAAAAAAAATTCGAGAAATTGTGAATTTTTTTGACGGAAAAAAATTTATTCAAATCGTTTTGAAAAAATTATATTCAGTTGCGGGGCTCAATTACAATAATTTTGGGTCATTAGACATGTCCTCGAAATCGTAGCCATTTCCAAGAAAAAAATTCAGGAAGTTGTGAAATTTCTGACGGAAAAAAAAAATTTCAAATCATTTTGAAATAATTATATTCAGTTGCGGGAGTCAATTACAATAATTTTTGGTCATTAGACATACCCTCGAAATCCCAGCCACTTTCAAGAAAAAAATTCGATAAGATGTGAAATTTTTCGATGGAAAAAAAAAATTTCAAATCATTCTAAAAAAATTGTTTTTGATTGCAGGGGTCAATAACAATCATTTTTGGTGAATACACATATCCCCGAAATCCTACGCACTTTTGAGAAAAAAATTCTTTACCGAATACGTCTGACCAGTGGTTGACCAATTCCCCTGAAATTTCATGCGAATCTTTAAAAAATCATAACTCCTGAACGAGTTGGCCGATTTCAATGTTTCAACCGGCAAACAACGCGTATTTTAATGAAGAATATATAGAAATTGCAAGACCATTCGAAAAATTATTTCTTAACCCCGTAAATTGAGAAAAACTCCATGAAAATGTTCCAATTTTCAAACGACCGTGACTCTTGCATTAGTTAATGCATCGTATTGGATAATAGCGATCGGATCCGTGGTACAGTTCGAGGATCGTTACCTCCCCGTCGCGTAATCGCATTACTTTCCGTAGCGTAACGGCAACTTCGCCATTTCCATAGAGAACGAGACTAAGACCAATTGTCTTCTCGTGCTCCCGTAGAAACTTCCCTGTTTAACTCTCCCCGCGTAGACGTCGCCTAGAAAGCGGGGCGTTTCGCGTTTTACCCCCGGCACAGTACACTCGTGCACAAAGGGACGCGAGAAAAGGAATTAAAAAGGTATCGAGGTTCAAATCGGGCCATTAAAGTCGCTCTTAAAACCCCCCGGGGGAACGTTTTCCCTTCCACCGTTTGTCTCTGTACATTCATGAACGATGGATCTTTCAGGATCAACGTGTCTTCCTCGTGCCATGGATCGTGACCGTGATCGCGACGTGCATCGTCGACGTGGCCCATTCCTTGTACCTGTTCGTCGCTGTTGTAAGTACAATCTTATCCTAAAGCATGGAATTGCGTAAAATAAAAAATCAAAGTACCTACACATATGCCTGCATATTTTTATTATCAAAATTAATGCAATGAGAGCTTCGTAGTTACAAACAACGCTACGATGTTATTTTTATATAATATTTAGTCTCCATTTCTCGATCGTAAGGACCAAAATTGTTCAGCTTGGATAACTCTCTGATGATGTCGAGCGATATAATTGTCGTGCTTGGTCGATTAGAAACGTTTTCCACGTTTTGTGTGTAGATCTTTAAGAAAATTCATATTTTTATTAACAGAATCAATGGAATGGAAGCTTCCTATAGGATTTTAAATGTTCAAATATCCAAAATCCTAGCTACAATCAACGCTACGATGTTATTTTTATATTTAGTCTCGATTTCTCGATCGTAAGGACCAAAATTGTTCAGCTTGGATAGCTCTCTGATGATGTCGAGCGATATAATTGTCGTGCTTGGTCGATCAGAAACGTTTTCCACGTTTTGTGTGTAGATCTTTAAGAAAATTCATATTTTTATTAACAGAATCAATGGAATGGAAGCTTCCTATAGGATTTTAAATGTTCAAATATCCAAAATCCTAGCTACAATCAACGCTACGATGTTATTTTTATATTTAGTCTCGATTTCTCGATCGTAAGGACCAAAATTGTTCAGCTTGGATAACTCTCTGATGATGTCGAGCGATATAATTGTCGTGTTTGGCCGATTAGAAACGTTTTCTACGTTTTGTGAGTAGATCTTTAAGAAAATTCATATTTTTATTAACAGAATCAATGCAATGGAAGCTTCCTATAGGATTTTAAATGTTCAAATATCCAAAATCCTAGCTACAATCAACGCAACGATGTAATATTTATATTTAGTCTCGATTTCTCGATCGTAAGGACCAAAATTGTTCAGCTTGGATAACTCTCTGATGATGTCGAGCGATATAATTGTCGTGTTTGGCCGATCAGAAACGTTTTCCACGTTTTGTGAGTAGATCTTTAAGAAAATTCATATTTTTATTAACAGAATCAATGCAATGGAAGCTTCCTATAGGATTTTAAATGTTCAAATATCCGAAATCCTAGCTACAATCAACGCTACGATGTTATATTTATATTTAGTCTCGATTTCTCGATCGTAAGGACCAAAATTGTTCAGCTTGGATAACTCTCTGATGATGTCGAGCGATATAATTGTCGTGTTTGGCCGATCAGAAACGTTTTCCACGTTTTGTGAGTAGATCTTTAAGAAAATTCATATTTTTATTAACAGAATCAATGCAATGGAAGCTTCCTATAGGATTTTAAATGTTCAAATATCCGAAATCCTAGCTACAATCAACGCTACGATGTTATATTTATATTTAGTCTCGATTTCTCGATCGTAAGGACCAGAATTGTTCAGCTTGGATAACTCTCTGATGATGTCGAGCGATATAATTGTCGTGTTTGGCCGATCAGAAACGTTTTCCACGTTTTGTGAGTAGATCTTTAAGAAAATTCATATTTTTATTAACAGAATCAATGCAATGGAAGCTTCCTATAGGATTTTAAATGTTCAAATATCCGAAATCCTAGCTACAATCAACGCTACGATGTTATATTTATATTTAGTCTCGATTTCTCGATCGTAAGGACCAAAATTGTTCAGCTTGGATAACTCTCTGATGATGTCGAGCGATATAATTGTCGTGCTTGGTCGACTAGAAACGCTTCTATCGTCGATATGCGTCCAACGATATTAATGTTCGTCGAAAAGAAAGCACCACACGATGGATGTATCCGTAAATGGATCCGCGGGGCGAGAGTTGGCACGGAACGCGAGCATTGTTACGTGTTCGCGTACCTCGTGGGTTTTTTCCGCCCCTGGGTTTTACGTGAGAAAAGGCCATATGATTCTCTTCTCGCGCGGTAAGAGGATACGTCCGCGATAATTGCTAGGTCGCCTCGACCTCCGAGAAACCTCCCAGCGAAGGGAAGAAACCCTCGTCGATGCTCTCTCGATACGGACACGACCACCGAAAACGTGATTTCGAACGATCGTCTCGCCTCGTTCGGCTTTGCAGGGCTTTCAAATTACAACGTCGAAGATTACATTTACAAAATGGACGTCACGCTCGATGAAACGCGTCTCTTTGCTCGACAATCGTTGTTTGAACAAGAAAATTCAGTTTTCTTCTTCTTCTTCTTCTACTTTTTTTTCGGCCTCGTAGTGATAGATTTCTTGAGTAACAAAGGTATTTTATTTATTAATTACAAAATAGAATTGGGTGCATGCGGCACAGCCAAAACAGTACAAAAACGAAAACATAAGAGCTCACGAATTCTTTTGAACGGCGCTAAATTTTGAACATTCCAACGCGTAGTAACACCATTTGTCTTCTATTTTTCATTTTTAAATTCTCTATTTCTTCTTCCACTCGTAATTATTTCCAAACGGAGCCATAGACACGCGATCGATAAATTCTCTGGAATAATTCTTCTCACGGAAACGAACGAGCTGAAATTTTGTTTAACCAGAGAATCGAAAACGAACGATTCCAAGCATCCGTTCTAATTAAAATTTTTGTTAATCCCCCAGCTGGAAGAGGATAGGAATTGTCGCTAAATTCCACGATCCACGATCCACGCGACCGCGCCGGTACTTTCGTTAATTGAAAAACAACTGCAGGAACCGACGATCGCTTGGAATATCAGAGTAATTGCTGCGGAGGGTCGTTTGGGAAGAATCGTATTACAAAGCTATATGGAAACCATAGACGGTAATTTTGATGGGTTCTTCAAAAATTTATAGAGACCCACCGGACAGGAATTACTCCTCGATTACCGCGTAATTTCCCCTTTCCTCCTCCTCTTCTATAAGAGAGAGTTTCAACTCGGATGGAATCAGAGTTCGAAACGCTTCCGCTGAAACTTTCTTCGTTTTAACTGACTTTGAAGTTCCACCCCTCTTCATCCGGGGGGAATACTCGCGATTATTTTTAAACGTACTGCTTACAACTTTTCCAACGACGTTAAAGTTGTTTTAACGGCTCGAATGGAGCTCGAGGCGCGTTTATAATGGCGGCCAAGGATTCCATCGCGTAACTTTTTTATGCGACGCGTGCTTTCGTCCATTGTCCTCCGATTACCACCCCTCGAACCATCGAACACCTTTTCTGATACGACTTAACATTGTAACCCTTTGCAATCCGAATTATATTTCAATTTTGCTTTATTTGATATTTACGTTAACTAAAAAATAGAGCAATTTTAATAAACAGAGGAATAAATTCGATGGAATGTCTGTTTTGTTTACACTGTTGTTGTGTTTTGTAATTTTCAACGCCTTTAAGTGTTTTATTTCAAATTTACGACTACATGGCGCGTACTAAGATGGCGCTGCGGTGGGACCAGCAAACCCCCTTCAATCCCCCACTTTTGCGAGTCCCATTATCATTTTTCTAACATTTTTGTTAGATAAAACTTTCTCTTTTGGAAGAGACAAACCAAGAATAAATATTGAAACAAAACCTATAATGCAAATAAATGTTTGCTTCGTCAGTTATAGAAAACCATAATTTTACTAAAATCATCATTTTCAAATGTAATTGTATCAATTAATTATCGTATCGCCTATCGAAAGCCAAAAAAATAGTGAATTTGCAAAAATCCAGTCGACTAAATTCGTTACAATTTTTATTTTGAAAAAAACCTATAATGCAAATAAATGTTTACTCATTCAGATATAGAAAACCACAATTTTATTAAAATCATCATTTTCAAATGTAATTGTATCAATTAATTATCGTATCGCGTATCGAAAGCCAAAAAAATAGTGAATTTGCAAAAATCCAGTCGACTAAATTCGTTACAATTTTTATTTTGAAAAAAACCTATAATGCAAATAAATGTTTACTCATTCAGATATAGAAAACCACAATTTTATTAAAATCATCATTTTCAAATGTAATTGTATCAATTAATTATCGTATCGCGTATCGAAAGCCAAAAAAATAGTGAATTTGCAAAAATCCAGTCGACTAAATTCGTTACAATTTTTATTTTGAAAAAAACTTATAATGCAAATAAATGTTTACTCATTCAGATATAGAAAACCACAATTTTATTAAAATCATCATTTTCAAATGTAATTGTATCAATTAATTATCGTATCGCGTATCGAAAGCCAAAAAAATAGTGAATTTGCAAAAATCCAATCGAGTAAATACGTGACAATTTTTATTTCTCATTCCATTTAATTTTAAAATTACCAACATCCGAATTACGAATTCCCAAACATCCAGCCCCGTTTTGGGGTACGTTTCTCTGGGAGTTAACGCATCAAAAGGGTCGAGTACCCTTTCAACAGCTTTGAAGCGTTTTTCCGTGAATTTGACGTCTCTGAAGAACCTCGTTATTGTGCGTGGCGCGCGTTCAAAGCGTTTCGACGCTCAAAGAACAGCGAACAATGCTTTGACACGCGTTTGCGTTTGGATTTTTTCGGGGATCTCTGGGAAAAAAAGTTTTTTTTAATAACACCTTTCTCCAGCGACGCCAATTTTCGAAGCACTCTCTGCGATCGTGTTGTTTTTTTTTATCACGCCACCCGGTATTTCGATATAATCAGTCGCGATTGCACTTTTATCTAATAATTGCGGCAACTTTGTTCCTCGCCTCGAGCTTAACCGAGTTCTCCGATATTTGTTTTCGTTTCGTCGTCGGCGATGGCGCCTCTCGAGGCTGTCGAACAAAAAGAATCGCAATTAGGCGTGATCGGAGCGTTGCATTAGTTTTTAATCACCTTGAAAGAGTTAATTGTGGCGATATGCCGACAGCTGGTGGTCTTTTCTTTGTAAACCGTGTCGTTTTTCCAATATCGCGCGCTTTATTTGCCAAACGTGGTCTCTCTGGCGCCAACTATTGACAGTGGTCTTCGTTCCAACGACCATAGCGCTGTATTTTATCGTGAAAAATCAAAGTTACCAGATTTTATCTTCGATACCTTTGCTATTTTTTTCGAAGCTTATTTCGAAACTCGAGTTATTTTAAATGTACCAAACCAGTCAAAATGACTCATTCGTAATTTCTAGTAAAACTTGTCACAAATTTACTGTACTACGACTGAATTCTTGAAAATTTATCGTAATTTTCTATTAGAGAATATATGAACACTTATTTCCATTGTATTTTATGTTTTTTTCGTATATCTATCTTTGATACAAATAAACACACTATAATTGTCGGTAGTTCCAGTGTTAATATACAAAATATTAATAATATTAACACTTTACCGACCGGTAGCGGTTGATTAATCGGCTATCGGTCGGTAAGCGTTGGTCGGTAAAAAAGTCGATTAATAGGCTGTCGGTCGGTAATGTGTTAAGTTTCTCGTGGGTAAAAAGTGTACCTAGTCTTCCCCATAAATTCTTCTCGAATTAATTAGCGGTGAAACCTTATTCAAATTCGAAATATAATATTTCTAAAAGGTTCCAAGACGTTCTGCACTTTGCTATTCGCGATGTTTTCGAACTCTTAACCGTGGTATTTCCATGGTTCCGGGGGAAACCGAATCATTTTTCAACGGAAAATCCACCCTTCTTGAGACCTTTACCGAACCCAACTTAATCTGCATTTCCATATACATAAGGTTTCGTGGTCCCCGAGAGTGCCAGTTTATCTCGCATTCACATATCCACAACACGTCGGTAACTCGGCTCCCGGAATTCTTTGAAACGACAGCCTTTGAAATAAATCGACCCGGTCGGTAGACCCGTCACGGTTCCCCGGAGGACCCACGGGACTAAAAACCCCGTGTTTCGCGAATGGACGCCAAAAGGATCGTCAAAGGGCTTTTTTCCGGCCCGTTTCACGCGTCGAAATGCAACGCCGCGATGCAATTGCGACGCATCCTTCGTTTGCTGCGAGTTTGGAGTCAAAGTTAGGACAAACCAGGATACTAGCGTCTATTCTCAACATTTTGCATCAAAACAAATTTGAAAAATTCAATGTAAAATGTAAATTTATATTCGAATTGTCTCTAAATTGATAGTGTCAAGGTAAAAGCTGTCGATTTTACTTTTGACTGTGGATTTGTGAGTTAGAAATTTTATTATTGCGTCTTAAACCAGGATGTTAGCGTCTAATATATATGTCTTTGCTATTTTCAAAATTTCGCCTCAAAATATATTTGAAAAATTGAATGCAAAATGCAAATTTAATTCGAATTGTCTCTAAATTGATAGTGTCAAGGTAAAAGATGTCGATTTTGCTTTTGACTGTGGATTTGTGAGTTAGAAATTTTATTATTGCGTCTTAAACCAAGATGTTAGCGTCTGATATATATGTCTTTGCTATTTTCAAAATTTCGCCTCAAAATATATTTGAAAAATTGAATGCAAAATGCAAATTTAATTCGAATTGTCTCTGAATTGAAAGTGTCAAGGTAAAAGCTGTCGATTTTACTTTTGACTGTGAATACATGGATTAGAAATTTTATTATTGCATCTTAAACCAGGATGTTAGTATCTGATATATATGTCTTTCCTATTTTCAAAATTTCGCCTCAAAATATATTTGAAAAATTGAATGCAAAATGCAAATTTAATTCGAATTGTCTCTAAATTGAAAGTGTCGAAGTTAAAAGCTGTCGATTTGAGTTTTGACTGTGAATACATGGATTAGAAATTTTATTATTGCATCTTAAACCAGGATGTTAGTATCTGATATATATGTCTTTCCTATTTTCAAAATTTCGCCTCAAAATATATTTGAAAAATTGAATGCAAAATGCAAATTTAATTCGAATTGTCTCTAAATTGAAAGTGTCAAGGTAAAAGCTGTCGATTTGAGTTTTGACTGTGAATACATGGATTAGAAATTTTATTATTGCATCTTAAACCAAGATGTTAGCGTCTGATATATATGTCTTTCCTATTTTCAAAATTTCGCCTCAAAATATATTTGAAAAATTGAATGCAAAATGCAAATTTAATTCGAATTGTCTCTGAATTGAAAGTGTCAAGGTAAAAGCTGTCGATTTTGCTTTTGACTGTGAATACATGGATTAGAAATTTTATTATTGCATCTTAAACCGGGATACTAGCGTCTGATATATATATTTCTTTCCTATTTTCAAAATTTTGGCTCAAAACAGATTTGAAAAATTGAATACAAAATGTAAATTTATATTTGAATTATCATTAAATTGACAGTGTCAAAGTACTCTATCGATTTGACTTTTGATTGTGGATGTTAGAAATGTTATTATTGCATCTTAAGGAAAAGATAGATCGATGTTAGGGGTATCGCAGTGGCGAATGGCGTAATTAGGTTAACCCTGTGTCTGCGGTATTACAGTGTCGCGGGACCCTCGATTGAGATTCCTGTAGCCAGCTATGAGCAACGGAGATTCAATCCTTGAGTAAATCGTATTATGTCACCTCGCTTATGCGAAAGCACGTGGAACGTATCGTCCAAGCTATTCAAATCGTGTCGTAGCTCGCCAAGTCAAATATAGATCATGCCTCGGTGCATCGAAGATGTGTAAACTTCTGGTAAACACACGAAAATACCTTCGAGACGAGAGGTCATTGACCCTAAATTTAGAAAACGCTAAATCAAATACACAATATTAATATTATTCGTTAGCAAAATTTACGTTGAGAAATTTAACGTAGGTTTAATTTGATCTAGATCAGATACACAATATAAATATTATTCGTTTTACGTTGAGAAATTTAACGTAGGTTTGATTTGATCTAGAAACAAATCTCATAATGAAGACTGCTGTTTGTTAGGAATGTTTTTCTGGTCGCTAATAACCGTTTTACGTTTCACGTGAGTGGAATACGTAGAATAGAATCGTAGAAGACTGTAAAAGCTGTAAACACGCGAGCGTTACCGCTTCGTATAAGAAAATTCTACATCATATGTGCGTCGCGTAGCAAGTATCTCTGTATGCAGAGTGGACCAGACGCTGGAGTTGGTTCTCCGTCGCGGAATAACAGCGCATCCGACAGCATTGCGCCACGGTACGTGCAATCTTCATTAACGTCCTTGCCATTAGCGTGCTCAGCTTTTTCTGCCGTCCCGTAAACTAGAAAACGGGAAAAGAGCAGTTTCCGCGCCGGATATCGACTATCGTCACGAAGACGGAAAATAAGAAAAAAAAGACATCATTTTTACGGAAACGATCGCGCGTCTTCAACGAAACAAAAATACTAGGCTAATTTTCCAACTTAAAAAAACAAAAATCGACGGGATTTTATCGTTCGAGTATGAAACTTGGCGACAGAGTTTCAAAGTACATATATTATAAAGTAAATAAATACGATTTAACACTTTACCGACCGGTAGCGGTTGATTAATCGGCTATCGGTCGGTAAGCGTTGGTCGGTAAAAAAGTTGATTAATACGCTATCGGTCGGTAAGTGTTGGTCGGTAAAAAAAAGTCGATTAATAGGCTATCGGTCGGTAATGTGTTAATATCGACACGATTCTGTTTCAGTCCACTTTTGACCCAACGAAGGTGATGCTCTATACGCTGAGCTTCTTCCTCCTCTGCCTGAACGTGAGTATATATCGATGGGGGACGAATTTCTTTAACACTGGAAAGACTGAAACTTAATATACATATACCTATATTGCCCCAAAAGCAGTCAAAACGACTGCACTGTGAAAGAATCACTAATGCGTAAAGAAATTTGTTTAAAATTAATTTTTAATATCAGGATTCGATATTATAAATTTAGGGCGCCGAAGAAATAAAATAAACAACTTGTTGGAACAAGTATCACTGCATAAAGATACATAATTGATTTTCTAATTGAAATTAAAAAAGCAGTAAAAATGATTTCCTTGGGCAATCTAGTGTTAATCTCCAAAGACTCGTGTCTCGCGCAATTTTGTTGTTTTTTTTTTTATTAACGAATTACGATGTATAGTACTCGTTTTGCTTTCAGGTATATTCGTTGTTGTGCGTGGTCTCGCAGTATCAAGAGTATACGGCTGGTCGGGGCACCGCCGCGGACGACTACGAGTACAGGGTCAGTATTCTGAGAGTCTCACAACGGAAACAGGAACGGAATAAGGGACGAAAAGTTAAGTGGATTAATTGTATTGTTCAATCGTTGTTCCGTAATTCGTAAAAAGAAGGTTCAATGCTTTCGAACGGGCCGTTTAACGCTTAAAATGTTGAGTTACGTTATAATTTTCAACAGTAATCTACGACTATTTGATCGTCCCATATGTTCGTGCCGTTCGTCCCTGGACCCAAGATAAAATTCCCAACTTATATCATTACTAGGAGGAAAAGAAAGCATATACATTGTATACGGTTACTTGTATTCGTACACTGTAATGGTGATACACTATAAATAGGGGGGAAAAGAATATATAAATTGTAAGCGGTCGTGGCAGGTTGGATACGCTGATTCACTGTCCGATCGTAAAGTGCAGCATCATCGGGCCGCGTGCAGTCTAGGATGGGTGACCGCTCCGAGGGGAAAAAAGCAATTTATTAGCTTTATATTATTATTCTATACTGTTCATGATTGTATTTCTGTGTCAGTTTCGTAAGTGAGCAATTACTTGTCCCCCGTGAATGTTATAAAAAAGAAATAATATTATATTTACTATCGTAGTGTGTAACTATGTAACAAAGAAATCTTGTACAATCCGTAGTGTAATCCTGAACAAAGAAATTTATACAATCGTAGTGTAATCCTGAACAAAAACAAATTTGTTAATAAAGTTTCGTAATTGAGCACTACTTGCCCGTCGTGAATAATTATAAAAAAACCTACTATTGTATTTACTATCGTAGTATAATAACTATATAACAAAGAAATCTTGTACAATCGTAGTGTAATCCTGAACAAACAAATTTGTTAGCAAACTTTCGTAATTGCCCCCGTGAATGTTATAAAAAAAAAACCTACTATTGTATTTACTATCGTAGTGGTAACTATATAACAAAGAAATCTTGTACAATCGTAGTGTAATCTTGAACAAAGAAATCTGTACAATCGTAGTGTAATCCTGAACAAACAAATGTGAATCACCATTACAGTGTACGAATCAGTCTACGTTGGACTGATAAAAGTATCACTGTCTCCGTTAATCGATGGTTGACTGGAAAATTGAGGCGACAAAGGATATGTGCTCCTCGGGGGATAGTTCCGGGATTGCGTCCCGTCGCGCTAGTTTCCGGAAATCGGTAGCCTTTCCCGAAGAAATCACTGGGTTTTCCAACGGGGGGAAAAGCTCTCCAGGGTATATCGATATCCGGGAGCAATCTTATTATCGAAATGGAAGCTATCTACTCACGACATGTGTTCATCGTTTTCCACGATTTTTCCAGAAATTACTCGATCCGTTTGAACATAAATCTCCGATCTTGTCATAATTAAAATACGTATATTAATCTCCTCTCCTAGTTACAAATAGAAATTCACGTTGAATTATGTATCACCTTGTCTTTGAATTTATATTGTAATCGCAAGGATCCTTCAGGCACCCTCCTGTGAATCTTTATCTTTGGAATTTAGGGTAGTGTCCTTTCCCCTCTTACGGGGCACACGGTTCTACCTACGATGTTATCTAACGCCCAGATTGCTAAATTAATCGTTCTCACGGAAGGAAGCTACTCGTTTCGAATTAGGGATATCGAGAAGATAACACGAAATAAATCGAAGATAAATCGAAAGTTGTGGAAAATAACGAATAATGTTTACTAAATCTAGCGTTGAAGGATCTCGTTTCAGAGCCACCAATTTCACCCCTGATCGACTGAAAATTCCTATCCACGTGTCGTCTCGATTGTGCAACTTAATCGTAATTAATTTTTCAATTTTTCAATGTTCGATCGGCGTAGATTTGCGGGTGACGTTGATCCACGAATATCGGTATACAGATCGGGCTCGCATTATTGGCTCTCTTCGAAAAGCGTTTGACGCGGCGACATCCTTCGGTATCGAAGGTTCCTCAAATAAGCGTTATTCAGGTTGACAGACGGGAAGATTAACGATATCCCTCGCTCCGTCCCGCGGCCATGCATTTAATCGCGAAAACGGGATACAGCGTAAGATTTATTAATTTTCGAAATCCCCTTTAAACGTGACACAACTCTTCCTCGGTGGGGAGAAAGATCGACGACGTATTTTAATTTTTTAAATCCCCGTTACCCGACGAGATACGTTTATTAAAAAGTATCTATTTTAAGAATTCGATTCGTTCTTTCACACTTTGTGCCAGAAAGTAAATCGAACCCTTTGAGCCGTTCCAGATCCGCTCGGATCGCTCTGTCCATAAACTAATTTCCAAACTTGGCTCCGTTTTACGTAACGGTCTGTAAAACTGCATTTGCATTAGGCAAGTTTTGATCGATCTGCCCCGGAATCGATATGAAAATCGCCCGGGTAAACACAGCGTCGAGTTGGAACTTCTGATCGTTCGACCGGAAGCAGGCCTTCGTCTATTTTCGGTCAAACGACACGATCCTTTCGACGATAGTTCGTTGTTTAAATATACCGGTAAATGAATTATTCTTAAACGTGTCAAACATTGAAAAATAATTGTTCCTCGATTTATAAATTTATAAATTTATATTGGGAGATACTCCGAAGAATTTCCGGTGCAGAAATTAACTCGTTAGATCTGATGCTCCGAACTATGGAAACTAATCCAATTAATCGTTCACGGAGTCCTTGACGAGAATTTCGATATAAATTCTATTAATTTAGTTATCTGTTATAATTGCCAAAGTCACGTTTTATTATTGTGCAATGATTGGAACCGCATCTATCAGCGTATAGATCGACCCATTTAATCTATAAATAGATTCATCTCGCGTACAGTTAACTAAAAATATCCTCTGTTCGCCTGGATGTTTTAATTTTGTTTTTTAATTCGTGTCATTTTCCCCCCGGTTACGTAGAATTTATACATGAAAATTGATGGTAGAATGATAGTTTCCCAACTCGATTAAGTTCCTCTTGGAGGACATCAAAGAACCCTCGGTTTCCGTGTCGAAAAGAATTTCTTGGCCGTTGCCCCCAAAAATAGCCTTTATTAGAAATTGGTTAACACATTACCGACCGTTAGCCTATTAATCGACTTTTTTACCGACCAACACTTACCGACCGATAGCGTATTAATCAACTTTTTTACCGACCAACGCTTACCGACCGATAGCCGATTAATCAACCGCTACCGGTCGGTAAAGTGTTGAATAAAGCACTCAGATTTCCTGTCGATAAACGCTACACTTTATGGAAATAAACATTTCGGTTAGAAGAGACCTTTCTATATGAGTTTTACAACAGAACTGAACTTGGGGACCAATATCTCTTTGTAGAAACAGGAAAGCGAATCTTACGAGGGAATATCTCTCTCCTCTGAAATAGGAGACCAGTAAATCCAATTAATTTTGTACTTTTAGTGGAAAACCTAACATTTCTCGTTGAAAAATCTAATTACAAAATGGGTCTTATGAAGTGCCCTTTGAAGGTTCCAGCTGTGAGGTACGCGACCCAGCCACCGACCACGACCGCCACCTCTTGCCTAAGCTCCCGTCGAACGGCGACCAACAACGAGACCAAAACGACCGCAACGCCCACGCAGAGTTCCACAACCGGTCAGAACACCCATTCGTTGGAGAAAAGTCCGGTCGTGGGACGACCAGCCAGGAAACACGTTCAGTTTCCCGACACAGCCCCCGAGTCTCAGAAGGAGAAACCTGGTAAGCAACCAGATCAATTTTCATCCTCAGATCCCCCATCATCTCGATGTTCCCTTGGATTTCTATGAGGATGATTTTCTCTAGGATCTTGCCTAGTAGGCTCAGAGGTCTATAGTTCTCTGGATCAGTGTGGATCAGTCTGGATCACAATTTATAAAAAAAAGTCAGTTTACGCGGAAGATTATGACAATTGACTTAAAACAGTTCGATTATTTTTTTAAACAGACCCCATAGATAGAATCGAAGATACTCTCGCGACTGTTGATAAACACACGCATGAAAATTTTTCTTGAAAACTTGGCTATCATTACGAGATCCGATCGATTACGATTGTTTTGTTCAAAGTGGAACGATTTTCGCTCTGTTTCAGAGAGCACTGTCACTGTTTTGGTGGCTAAAATGGAGTCTGAGGCCACGAACGCGACTTCGTCCTCGTCCAGAGCCAAGGAACCGTCGTCGATCGATCAGAACCCTCAATCGCAGAAAAACAGCCGAGTTCGGCACACCTGAAACCGTGATCAGAGCGACGGACTCGAGGATCGACCGCCATCTTGGTTTCGATGAATTATTTCTCCTCGAGGGAACGTCCCCCAGTGTGCGAGCTAATCCTTTCGGACAAAAAACACAGTCGTGTGCCAGTTCGGTGATAACTTGGTCCATTTGGCCAGTCTCCACGAACCAATTGTTTCCAATCGATAGAAACTGGGCGATCGAGCATCGCCGCGACGGGCGTTCAAGTTTCTCGCGGCGCGCCATTTCTCATCGGAAGCGGACGTCGTTTGAAGTCGATCGAACTGTGAAAACGCGTACGTACCTTTAAACTCCGATTCGATTCAAGTTTTGGAACACCTTGAGCGGTGGAAATCGCGCACCTGGACTTTTCAACGTCGATAATGGAGGATCGTCGCTGATGGAACCGTAGAAACCTTACAGAGACAATGGACGACGTTCGAAAACTATATTCCAACTTTTGTTACGCGAACACGAACGTTGTCTGAAGAAATATCGTCACTCGTAGGAATTCGAGTCGAAATTAGGAAAGTTTCACGCGCGATTTATGTCGCGAAGCAAACGTAATCGCAGAGTTCTACCTATTAACACTTTACCGACCGGCAGCGGTTGATTAATCGGCTGTCGGTCGGTAAGCGTTGGTCGGTAAAAAAGTTTAATAATACGCCATCGGTCGGTAAGTGTTGGCCGGTAAAAAAGTCGATTAATGGGCTATCGGTCGGTAATGTGTTAATGGAAGGACGAAATCGGTTCGAATGGAGTTTGCACGATCGTCGATCGATATCGACAGAGTTTGATAACGACTTCGTGGTCGCGATAACGAGCGTCTGTCTTCCCATTCGAGGATGGAATTTCTTGCCAAGAACTCGAGACCACCGACAGAAGGTTCCTCGAAACAGCTCTAAAACGAATTGTACCAAAGCTATTAGTATTAACGAGTCGTGAGCGTACGAATTTCTTAACTATTCCTTTAGCGTAATAAGATCGAGGCCAAAGGGCCAAAGGGCCTGGTCGATCCACCCTGCGACAGGGTAAACGTCTTCTGGTCGACCGTATTTTTCTACTGTACATTTTCAGACCAAAAACGTATTTTCGAAGGAACAGTAGCGCGTAACAGTTGGTTACCTTGTTCGTTACCGCGATTCGATCTTTTTCCATTTCTGATTTCCATTCCATTACGTCGAAGTCACAAAAATTGCCCGCTCGAATTACAGACAATTGTGTGTTTCGTCGATCGTCACACTCTTTGTATCCTCGATTATATATATATATATATATTATTGTAAATTCAATCGTGTTACAGTACCTGTTTGTATAGACTCCGAAAGAGGACTTTTAAAAGGCTGTTTGAAGATTTTCAATAAATAATTTATGTGGTTTTTTAATCCAGGTTCCTGTTATTACCTCCAACGAAAATCATCGCAGAAGAAGCAAGAGTATTTAATTATTTTGTAATTATTTTATTTACTGAAATATCCACTTTCATTAATGTGTCGTGATGTAGAAGAAGCAAGAATATTTAATTCTACCTACAATGAAATAGGAAATTATTTTATAATTATTTTATTTGCTGAAATATCCACTTTCATAAATTTGTCGTGATTTAGAAGTTTACGTTTCGTTTATGGTAACACAAATTGTAACAATTTACAAATTTTTTTAGGTAACAGCCACGACGAACGCTTCTAATTTTCAGCAACAGCGATTTCAGCCTCACGATTGCACGACAAAACGTTGCAATACATTTTGAAATATTCCTACTTAATGGGGAAAAAAATTTGATAATAAATTGATGATAAGGTTCTACCAACGTTACAGCCAAGATTTAAATACAGTATCGTCCGATGAACCACAACGTTGGAAGAACACCTCAATTTGTATGTGACATTCGACTGGTTACTGTTTCGTGGTGGAAACGATCTCTTCCTGAATCCGCGAGAACGACATTTTCTTCGTCTCCGGAAGATAAAATATCAGGAACACAACACCGAATGCATTGAGACCGGAAACGAGCCAAAAGGCGGCGTACATGCTGTGTTGGAACGCTACGAAGCTCCACACGCACACCATCACGAACGACCAGAGCGAGTTCAGGCAGAAACAGAAGCTGACGCATGTAGCTTTCGCGTACATCGGGCAAATCTCGTTCATGACCACGAAGGGGACGCTGGCCAGTCCCAGGGATATGCTAGCGGCGTAGAACAGTATCGCGACGAACGCCATCCACTGCAGCCTCGTCACGTCCACGTGGTGTTCTTGCATGCAGAAGAAAACGCCCAAGAGGAAGCTGCAAACTGTCACGCCTATCACGGATGTGATCATCAGCGGTCTTCTTCCTATACGGTCCACGTGGAGGATGCACAGCAGGTAGGATACCAGGTGCACCGTCGCCAGGATGATGCTCATGTACGATCCCGGCATCTGGATGTCGTGGATGTACTCGAAGATCGTCTGGGCGTAACCGATCACCACGATCGAGCCTGAGAACGCCTGCATCGTCATTATGCACGCACCGATCAGGATCTCCTTCTTACCACCTGGAATGTTTAACAGGGTTTGAATCGTTGGATTGGGCAAGGGTCTTTCTGGATTCTTCAGGATTGTTCAGGATTGTACAGGATTGTTCAGGATTGTACAGGATTGTTCAGGATTGTTCAGGATTCGACTCTTCAGGATTCTTCAGGTTTCGACTCTTCAGGATTCTTCAGGATTCTTCAAGATTCGACTCTTCAGGATTCTTCAGGATTCTTCAGGATTCGACTCTTCAGGATTTTTCAGGATTCGACTCTTCAGGATTCTTCAGGATTCTTCAAGATTCGACTCTTCAGGATTCTTCAGGATTCTTCAGGATTCGACTCTTCAGGATTTTTCAGGATTCGACTCTTCAGGATTCTTCAGGATTTGACTCTTCAGGATTCTTCAGGATTCGACTCTTCTGGATTTTTCAGGATTCGACTCTTCAGGATTTGATTCTTCAGGATTCTTCAGGATTCGACTCTTCAGAATTCTTCAGGATTTGACTCTTCAGGATTCTTCAGGATTCTTCAGCATTTGACTCAGCAGGATTCTTCAGGATTCGACCCTTCAGGATTCGACTCTTCAGAATTCTTCAGGATTTGACTCTTCAGGATTCTTCAGCATTTGACTCAGCAGGATTCTTCAGGATTCGACCCTTCAGGATTCTTCACGATTCTTCAGGATCTTTCTGGATTCTTCAGGATTCTTCAGGATTCTTCAGAATTCTTCGGAATTCTTCAGGATTCTTCAGGGTTCTTCAGGATTCTTCAGGGTTCTTCAGGGTTCTTCAGGGTTCTTCAGGGTTCTTCAATATTCTTCAGTATTCTTCCTTTTCTTTATTATTATATTATACACGTTTTGTTGGTGATTGCGTTTAGTGACAAAACATAATCTTGTGTATTCCAGCCAAGGGGAAGATCGAAGAGGACGACGAAGATAAAGGAGAGAAAAGGGAAGCGTTTCGTTCCTACTAGACGATGGAGTATTGACCAATTGTCGAGGAACACATATAATATGAAGTATCAAAGGGCTAGGTCGAGCACTTGCGAGAAAGTCAAGAACGTAGCCCCCTGGCGACAAGCACGAAAGGTGACGTCTCAGAGTTTGGATTACCTGGTTGATTGATCAGATGAAGAATAGAGGAGAACGCCCCGCTGTTCTCGGGTTCACACTCCACCGCTTTCATAATGGAGTCCATTTCCTCGGCGATGACAGCTGAACCGCGCAAGAATATCAGGGAATCCATGGCGGACCCGTAATGTTTACGTCGCAGCAGATAGTAGGGGGTTTCGGGGAACCAAACGAACATGGAGAACTGTAGTATCGATAGCGATATCGCCACGTAGGAGTACTCTTCCATGCTGGTGAGCGAGCCCACCACGTAGCCCAGAAGATTACCGCAGTAATCCATTAACACGAAGTAGCTGCCCAGAGCTCCGCGTACTTGCTGCGGAGCTATCTCCGTCACGTACATCGAACCTGCCGTGAAAATTATGCCACTTGCAGCCCCGCCTATCACACGCGCCAAATACAGATTCTGAAAACGATAGAAATCCTGACGTTTATATACTCGCGAGAAAGAGGATTTCAAATCCTCGCGATCCAGCGCCATATTTCCATAGCAAGTGCTATGCATTATACGTAAAAAGTTTCGTTGAGATTTACTCGTTCAGTAGAATTGGAGATTCGTTTAAATAAAATGCTTTGACCAATGGTAATTAGAAAGAGTGAGACAGCTTTGCTCGAGACACGACCTCCGACGTCAATGGGAAAAAATGCCGCTGAGCAAACGAGCCGACAGAAAGTAAACACATGTCGTTAGAATGATAAAACGTGGAAGTCGGAAGTTTTTCCCAGCGTTCGAAGCAGCCGTGTGTTTGCTTTGTTGGCGTTGCACTTTGTCATTGGGAGTCCAGAACATGGCGACGCAAAATATTAATTTTTCTAAAACGAACAGTTTTTTTCGCGACCTTATGATTCACCCAGGGAGTTTTATTTCGATGAAATGCACTTACCATGATCGATCTGCCCCACACTGTCAGTAGCCAGCTTGCAATTGTTGGGACGATGGCGAGCAATATTGCGATTTTTCTGCCCAGGAAATCGACGACGAACGTCGAGAGGAAACACCCGAACGCCATTCCTAGTTTCAGTAAGGATACTATCCAGGAAGCTTCAACCTCTGTCATCTTGAAGGACGACTCCTCTGCCAATAATTTCGGCAACATGGGTGACGTCCATCCAAGAAACATCCCCACGGTTAACTGGGCCATGCTCACTGTCTTCGTGCAACATTTTGTCAATATAATTATGGCCCACGAACTGAAATCAGTATTCTGATTCGAATTTTTCTTACCTACGAACGTCACCGCGTAGATCCTCGCGTTCGACGTTCTCTCGATCCCCATTTGCTTTTTGTTCAAACTATTCCACCGGTTTTAAAACATTCGCGTGCAAATGTAATTACGTTACTAACGGTTTTCTGTTTTGTAGACACTTCTGGAAGACACTGTCGATGGCCAACGGCGACGTCGGGTTTTTAATTGCCGCTTGAGGAAAGCGGTAGCACGTTTCGAGATTCGGATGCAACCAAGTGTATATATACAGTCCGGGGACAAAATCGAGCGAATAAGAAGTGGAAATGGTTGTAACAGAAACTATACTACCGGACGGATATTAAATTTGATCTATTACGTTGAATGAAATCATTAAAGTCAATACCAACGTTGATAAATTAACGAGTTACGTTTAATTTTAATTTTTCTATCATGTTTCCCCCGATGATATCATTCAATCTCGTCGACGCTGGCGAACGATTGTCAATTGTACGCGATTAAATATTTTGGATCGTTTGTTCAACTGTACCTTTCGACACTTTGTACGTATCGGCTATTAATCTCGAGAGTTTAATTACTTTTTGACATCGTGATATCATTTCGCAAATAATTCTACCGTTAGGTTATGAAAAACTATTTATAAAAATGACTTTTTTGATCGAGTATATTCTCTTCCCCACGAAGATACGTAATAAATAAAATTCAAGCATGTATCGAGATGTTATTTTAATTGTATCTGAACAATAGCTATTTTTACCTGTTCGCTGAATTTTGGAATCGACTGTACATCGATACGCGAATAATAATTACTCTGCGTGAAATATACGCGCGAATGCATTGTTACCGACACTTGAAATTGTTTCTTGCGGATATTGACCACTAAAAATGATCACAACAGTGAGGATTCTTGTATATCAAATCTTTTACACTTTATTTATTTGTTATTTGTTAATATGGACAGAATTTCGTTTGTTCTATTCTACTGTTTTCACTGTATATTAATGTATTCATGTTGTTTGATTTACAATGCGTATGAGAAAGTGGAGGACCGAGTATCGTTCATTTATTTAATGTTTCGTGTAATAATATTAATCAACAATATCGATTAACTTAAGTGACTATTCGTAACACAATCAAACGCGCAATTTCCTCATAAATTCTACAACAAAGCAAAACGATTACATATTACAAAACAACGGTTATCAGAGTATTAGTATGAAACGCTGTACTTTTAATTCTCGAAATACATTAATCACTCTCTGTCAAACATTAAATGAAAGGGACGCCGGAATTGCATAACCGCACGTGAATCACTCTCCGTCCGATCATCACGGGGAGATGATCACTGTCGGTAGTAATGGCTCGTGTGATTAGTATCAGTAGTAACGAGCCGCGTGTATCAGACAGTGGTTTACGCAATCTAACCGTGCTCGCTAATTTTACAACATTCACGTAATTGCCATCCCTTTGTAATTAACGGAAATTAATATTAAAAATTCCTCCAACATGTAACGCACACGACAATACACATTCAATTGTTATTCGAATCGGTTTGTTTTTTAAACGAGATTACATATTCTTATCGATACGATGTTACGGCTAATATCAAGGAAACTACAATGTACACTAACATATGACCTTTGAAGGTCATGTTGACACACAGCCATTTTGTTTATTCTTACAAAAACACGCTTAAGTCTTAAATTGTGCTAAATTAATTAGATCTCGCGATCTCATCGTATCAAGAATTTTCCTCCTTTCAGATCTAAATACAATTTTCACCTCATATCCTGGTTATCTAATCTCATTAACCCCTTAACGTTCATGCTCGAGTCTGATTGCTTTGAAAAACGATATTTGTTTAATGAAATGGTTTAAGGGATGATAATATTTCTTTTCCTTCAAATTATACGTTGGATACAACATTGTAATTAACAAAAACCGCATTTTTAGAAACAAATCCAATAAAGAAAACTGATTATTCTTAATTGACCCGAAAAATATGAGCGTTAAGGGGTTAACACTCATCATAAAGATGCAGACACAAAATAACCCCATGTGATACAAATAGGATCAAAGAGATTCTATTTACCCATTACTCTTTTTCTATATTTCAACAATAAGTCGCTTTCCCATGTAATAAAAGTAACCTGTACAATTTCTACGTCAATTTCCGGCCGTGCAATTGATCCTGCACTTCCTGCAGCGTTTTCCCTCTCGTCTCCGGCACGTACAGGTAAACAAAAACGAAACCTGATAAGCTGACAGCGGAGAACATCCAAAACGAGGCGTGCACGCCATATTGCTGGGCGATGCTCTGATAAGACAGAGTGATAACGAACACGGAACAATTGCTAAAGAACATGGCGATCGTGCTGCCAAGTGCTTTCACGTTCGTAGGAAATACCTCGCTCATCATGGTGAACGGAAGTCCAGCCAACCCTAAGGCGTACATGATGATGTAAAGTATCGCTCCAGCGGCTGGTAACCAGACAATTCCACTGACGTTCGTCTCATTTTGTTGCAGGAAGAAGAACAGACCGACGAGCATGGTCGAGACGAACGTCCCTAATGTGGAGATCATCAGCAACGTTCTTCTGCCGAACCGATCCACTATCGACGCTGCAAAAATGGCGCACGCAGCTTGCACGGCGCCCATTATCATCGTCACGTATTTGCCTTCAAAGTCGTTTCCGGTCGCGTTGAAGATCAACTCGGCGTAGGAGAGTATCGCCGAGCTTCCGCTCCACTGTTGAATCAGGACGAGGATCACCACGACTGTCAACGCTCTGCAAAACGAAAATCGTTAATTACATATTTTCTTCCATCGTTTGAGTCCCAAACAACGTGATCACGCTGTTGTATCATTGTTGTCGTAGAAAGTAGCAAGCGAGATCGTAAAAGAAAAGAAGAGAAAGCGCGCCCTCTGCCGGCGAGTGCAGGAAGTGTCGCCGTGCCGCCATATTGGCTCGATAGGCCCAAACGACAGTGCACATGGATAATTCTTGCGACAAAGTTTAAATATAACGTACAGAGATCTTTGTGACATGAAAGAAGTGACTTGAGAAGTGATAGATCGCGTCGTGTGGCACAAAATGGTTAACATCTCGAAAACTGACGTAAATATGGTTTTGGCGCGAAAGGAAACGACTGTCAACGCTCTGCAAAACGAAAATCAGCAATATTGTATCAATTACATATTTTCTTCCATCGTTTGAGCCCCAAACAACGTGATCACGCTGTTGTATCATTGTTGTCGTAGAAAGTATCAAGCGAGATCGTAAAAGAAAAGAAGATAAAGCGCGCCCTCTGCCGGCGAGTGCAGGAAGCATCGCCGTGCCGCCATATTGGCTCGATAGGCCCAACCGACAGCGCACGGTGGATTCTACTTGCGACAAAGTTTAAATATAACGTACAGAGATCTTTGTGACACGAAAGAAGTGACTCGAGAAGTGATAGATCGCGTCGTGTGGCACAAAATGGTTAATATCTCGAAAACTGACGTAAATATGGTTTTGGCGCGAAAGGAAACGACTGTCAACGCTCTGCAAAACGAAAATCAGCAATATTGTATCAATTACATATTTTCTTCCATCGTTTGAGCCCCAAACAACGTGATCACGCTGTTGTATCATTGTTGTCGTAGAAAGTATCAAGCGAGATCGTAAAAGAAAAGAAGATAAAGCACGCCCTCTGCCGGCGAGTGCAGGAAGCATCGCCGTGCCGCCATATTGGCTCGATAGGCCCAACCGACAGCGCACGGTGGATTCTACTTGCGACAAAGTTTAAATATAACGTACAGAGATCTTTGTGACACGAAAGAAGTGACTCGAGAAGTGATAGATCGCGTCGTGTGGCACAAAATGGTTAACATCTCGAAAACTGACGTAGATACGGTTTTGGCGCGAAAGGAAACGTTCGTCGCTGTTACTGAAACGTACTTGCGATTTCCCGATACGCTCAGCAGCTCCCAGAGTCCGGTGTCGTTGGCCAGATCGATTTTCACGGATTTCTCGATAATCCCTGCCTCCTCGGAAACGTCTGTGACGCCTCTTAATTTCGCCAGAGACTCGATCGCCTCCTGGTGTCTTCCGCGACGCATCAGGTGATAGGGGGACTCGGGTAACCACACGGCGTTCACGACGAACAGAATCGGGAGACACAACGACAGCAAAGCCAGATCCTTAACGCGAAGGAACGGTCCTATCGTCCATTCGATCAGGATTCCGATCTTCACGGACACCACCAACACCAACGTCAGTGTTCCCCGTACGCTGGCCGGGGAAATTTCGCCGGTGTACATCATGACGGCCACGTATCCGAAACCGATGCTCGATCCGCACAAGAACCTCCCTACGTATAATTCCTGAGCAATGGAAACGAATGAGTCTCTCGATCTTCGTGTACCTTTTCGTGGAAAATTCATTTTCCTGGTTATTATGCATTTCAACGGGTATCGGTGTCGTTGGAAAACCCTGTAGAGGAAGATGGATTGGATGAATTACCAAAACTGACGACGCGAATGCGACCATCAACCATCCCATCGACGCTGGCGCCGCGGTGAAAAGCAGGGTCCATTTCCTGCCGATCACGTTCACGATGTATGTGCAGAGCACGGAACCAACAATTGCGCCGAAAGCGTGGGAGGACGTTACCCACGCTGCTTCCTGCAATGTCAACTGCACGGGGCTGTCATCTTGCAAGAGAAGAGGCAACGATGGCGATGGCCAACCGAAAGACAGACCATACGACATCATACCCAAACTACCTGGTGATCGACAAAAATTACTCTTGTGCTACACTACGTCTTTACAAAGTGATCCTCTCAAATCTCGCAAGGATGAAAGGTATTGAAGAATTGTTGGTATAAAGAATTTTCCTGCAGGTGTTGCGGCGAAAGAGATATCGAGATCAAATTAATTTTTTTAAACAAGACTGTATTTCTTTATTAATAATAATAGCAGCGTTTGTTGAGACTATTACATACTATGATTTAGATCCAGGAGCCGGATGAACGCAAGCTAGAAATCTAATTACGCTAATTTTGCCATTTTTTTTATAGGAGGAACATTCGATAAAAGACGAGGCGAAATTTGAATAAAAATTTTCGATTCATTTGTGAACTAGCTTCTGCCCGACGATTCGCGTGAATATCTATATATGATTCTAATTTACGAATGAAACGAGCGGTAAAGTTAATTTACGAATAAATCTAGAATTTCCGTTTCTTATTCGTGAATGCAGTTTGTCCAAATTCCGCCATATTAATTCGTTTCCTGCTTCTAGGGAAAGTCACTAGCATCGACTTCTCTTCGACACTAGATTTACGAGCATTGATCGCACGTATGTATTTTTATTGAAACTCGTTCTGTTGAGGGTTATATTGAAATGCAGTTTTTTCTTTCAATTAAAATGTATATTTGTATACAACATAAATTACTAACAAATAATATTTATGGGTTTTGTAACTTTAAAAAAAGAATCTGAAATTCGTAAATCTAGTGTCAAAAGTTCACTATTACGAAACGCTATAAACGCTATATTATAGTAATTTTCCCTTCGAGCGAGAAACGAATTAAGATGGCCGACAGTACATATATATATATATATATATGTTACGATACAATGAACTGAAGTCCACTCGAGTCCACTTACCAGCGAGAGCAGCTAAATAAATTTTCTTCATCGTTCCAGTGAATAACTTGCAAAGTACATAAATAATCCAGGTTGAAGGAAATGTTAACAGACTGGTAAAGATGATACAGATAATGGTGTTGGGGTCAGATCTATGCAAAGTATACTTAATAACTAAACGATTTTATCGTTATCAAGCGGGTTATATCTTAAATTATGACACGTATAAAGAGTCAATGTAAATACAGTATTGTCTCTATAGAAGCGACGCTCTCGGGGCTCAACGCTCGGCTATATCGTGGACGAGAAACGATTCTTGATACTTTGTTGACGCCTACTGGAGGCGGCGAGTATAGAAAAGAACAGCGAGCATATGACAAAGAGGGACTGAGCGGCCGAGCATCGCCGAATTTGCTATCGCTTCCTTCGCTTCGGGTCGGCTGTAACGAAACACAGGCGATGTTTATGCGAGCCTATACGAAATCGGTGTTCTAATTCTGACTTCTACCTCTCTTGGTAGAGGTCGCAGAATGAAATACTGATTCTGTATAGGCTCGCGTAAACATCGCCTGTGTTTCGATACAGCCGACGTGGAGTCACTTGAGCGATGCATGCCTTTGATTTCTTATTGCGTTAGTAAATAGGACCTAAATTGTATATCGTATTTGGTGTCATTTTAATCAGAAAAGTGTCACGAATATGTTGATGAAGTTTGAAAAAAGGAAGAACAAAAATAAAGATGAATTTCGTTGTTGATTTAATATTGTATATGTACTAGTTAAATCGTGTCATAACTTCAGTACATATATGTATGTATCGATCGTTTACTGCAATAGTGATATAACCCGAAAAGATATACAGTATTTTCTCTATATAAGCTCGGAACTCGTCCACGATATAGGCAAATATCATATCCCCTCTACTTATCCCCACTGCGTACCGTTAGAACTAAGCACTCGCTGTATCGGCGAGTATGCCTTCCTATGGGCGGTTCCCCAAGATAGCGGCGCGTTTGACAGTCGGTCGTCGAACATTGTCATACGATACGGGCTCAAATTACTAAGGCAACACTAGTGCAATAATACAAATTTTTTATTTTTCCTTTTCTTGTTTTGAAACTTTTAACATGTCTGTGACAGTTTTCTGATTTAACTAAGATCAAGTACAACATAATTTTTATTATTGTTTTTCATAAATTATAATATACATTTGACCTTTCTTTAAAGTGTATCCTCATCTGAAAAAAGGAATTGTAATTTAATTGACCTATCATTTATTTGCCGAAATCGTGAGACAACTCAGAGTAAAATAAGTTGGTTAAACAGTTTAAATTCGCAAGTTATGTATATCTTTTCGGGTTATATCACTATTGCAGTAAACGATCGATACATACATATATGTACTGAAGTTATGACACGATTTAACTAGTACATATACAATATTAAATCAACAACGAAATTCATCTTTATTTTTGTTCTTCCTTTTTTCAAACTTCATCAACATATTCGTGACACTTTTCTGATTAAAATGACACCAAATACGATATACAATTTAGGTCCTATTTACTAACGCAATAAGAAATCAAAGGCATGCATCGCTCAAGTGACTCCACGTCGGCTGTATCGAAACACAGGCGATGTTTACGCGAGCCTATACAGAATCAGTATTTCATTCTGCGACCTCTACCAAGAGAGGTAGAAGTCAGAATTAGAACACCGATTTCGTATAGGCTCGCATAAACATCGCCTGTGTTTCGTTACAGCCGACCCGAAGCGAAGGAAGCGATAGCAAATTCGGCGATGCTCGGCCGCTCAGTCCCTCTTTGTCATATGCTCGCTGTTCTTTTCTATACTCGCCGCCTCCAGTAGGCGTCAACAAAGTATCAAGAATCGTTTCTCGTCCACGATATAGCCGAGCGTTGAGCCCCGAGAGCGTCGCTTCTATAGAGACAATACTGTACATAACTTGCGAATTTAAACTGTTTAACCAACTTATTTTACTCTGAGTTGTCTCACGATTTCGGCAAATAAATGATAGGTCAATTAAATTACAATTCCTTTTTTCAGATGAGGATACACTTTAAAGAAAGGTCAAATGTATATTATAATTTATGAAAAACAATAATAAAAATTATGTTGTACTTGATCTTAGTTAAATCAGAAAACTGTCACAGACATGTTAAAAGTTTCAAAACAAGAAAAGGAAAAATAAAAAATTTGTATTATTGCACTAGTGTTGCCTTAGTAATTTGAGCCCGTATCGTATGACAATGTTCGACGACCGACTGTCAAACGCGCCGCTATCTTGGGGAACCGCCCATAGGAAGGCATACTCGCCGATACAGCGAGTGCTTAGTTCTAACGGTACGCAGTGGGGATAAGTAGAGGGGATATGATATTTGCCTATATCGTGGACGAGTTCCGAGCTTATATAGAGAAAATACTGTACGTACCATTACAGCAGCCGATGTCTCAATCGTTTCGAAATAACGATTAATTTTTAACGAGAAATGTTCGAGTCACGGTATCGCGTTTTATACCGTGTTATAAAATATGAATTTTATACGGTACATTTGGCTTTTAAAAATAAGTATTACGTATTGCGAAAAAGACGGGATAACAAGTCATGCATGCCAACAGAGAACAAAGCATTAATTATTATTATATTACTCGGAACTATATTTTAATAAGTCTTTCACATTCTGCCTACATAATAGTATAATTAAAATAACATAAATAGAACACGAATAAAAAACAGTAGCACCATGCTTTATATGTAAATTTCATTGATAAAAACAACACGGTCGTGCAACAAAAATATTAATCGAACATTCAGTTTTTTCACCGTACCAGTTAGCGTAATACTCGATGCTCTCTTTGTGCAGTTACAGGAATAAACGTTTAAATAGACAATAAATAAATGTTACTATGTCTATTAAAAAAGAGTTGCTTTGAATAATTTATTCACATACCGTTCAGGGGCATTTACAAATATATAAGACCTAACGAATACCGTGTGACACGGTATCTCGATTATAAATTAAAATGGATAATATATATATTTTCGTTGAATACTGAATTACAAAATTAATATTATCAATTTGACAATAACTCCTGGCTATAGATAAAATAAATCTTTAAATAGCGGCCAATTTATCTAAAAGAAAGAAATGCTATTTGTCAAGCGAGATACAAATTTATATACATCATGTTTATGGAACAACGTTCGAGTAAAGTTCAAGTAACCATTGAGAAAGGGACAAAGTTTTGATGCAATAATGTTTAACAAATAACGCGTGTGTATCTTCTTGCATGACAAAAGGCATTTGTCGGAGCAGATATAACACAGTTATCAAATTGATAGTATTTCTCGTATCGCTTAAATACTGTTTTTTATACGCACGTATCTATGTAAAAACACAGCCAATTATAATATTACGTTTCTTACAAAGTATTGAGTTTGCATTCTTTCTCCATTACAATTTTATAATACACTTTCCAGCAACGACGGTGTAGTATTTTTTACAAATTCTATGAGACGATGTACCTCTGGCACGTTTAAAAATTATCTTATTAAATCTTTATAAAACATAAATATCAAGAAAATTCCATGAACGCTCAGTTTACTATACTTAACAATATTTTAATTAAATATCCATTGATTCATAAATTTTTGCAACGTGGTACTCGAATGTTGAGACCGGAAATATACATTCACGTGTAAATGTGTTCTACGCACCGAAATATTGTATAACAGTAACGTACATCAGAAAATAAAACGGGGCTGTAGTGTGTATCAATTTTCAGAAAATACTATCTTTGAATATATCGAACACTTATACCGATCGATGCAATAGCACTGTAATTACAAAGGAACCTCATCTTCCTTTCTACGATAAGGAAAATGTATTACAAATTCACCTGGAACTTTGAGTAACTTTGTAAAAGAATATAGTATTTAAATATTTAAATAACCTAATACAGGAAACGACTTGCAGGCATGTTGACCGCGCCCCGACAGCTACTGGGTGGAGGATTTTCGTCGTCGGAATTTTCATTTTTTCGTAACAATATCGAGCTATGTCGGTGTTGGGATTTCTCAGCTTGATGTCTTAATTCCTCGATATAGGCTGTGGTATCATTCGCCACCAGTTCCTGCAACTGTTTGCTCAGCGTCGACAGTTCCGGTTTCTCCTCGTTGTAGATTCCTTCGAACGGGTCAGATCTTTCGTAAAATAATATATATGGCGTGTCCGGTGGTTTCAAATCCTTGAAATCGTTAAACGTTGTTTGCGAGACGTAACTGTCGTTAAATTTGTACCAATTTTGCTTCGAGTCACGAGCGTAAGTAAAGTAATGACCATAATCCATGCTATAACCAGAGTGTACAACGGCGGCGTACAGTTGATACGTTTTGGTAGATGTGCATAAAGGCGTCGATACCGGTAATTGTATAGTTTCGTTATACATCACTTTGTGCCGTAGTTTCGTTCTTAGTCTAGTATCGAAATCGTAATGAAAGTGTTTCAGAATCAAAATTAAATATGTCGGTGCATGGAGAATTTTTATAAACCTTAGCGCGTCACAAAGTTTCATACATTTATCGCATCGGTATTTGTTCTCGCCAGTCATCTTCTCTGGTCTGAGATAATAATTGATTAAATCTTGGACAGAGACTTCTTGGTTCTCCTGTATCTCTTCCGGGAAGCACAGTTGCAAGTCACGAAACTTGTCTGTATTATGAGAACTAGTATCACATTGAGCACACTGATAAGTAATTTTACATTTTCCACCTAAAACCCTATGTACAAGAGGTACTTGTGTACTCGTATCTTCAGCGCCCACAGATTGTATACCACTGTCTGTAGAGTCCGAATGTGAATCACTAAGTTGCTGTGTTTGTGCTAAATCTTCTCCTGCAAATAAAATTTAGAAGCTAGAAATAATTGCTAAGTGTTACAACAAAATACAGTATCGGAATGTAGTTATTACCTTGCGTAAAATCTGCTAACGATTGTGTTTTTCTTTCTAAAGCTATACTTCCGGTTAAATCTTCTTCCGTTGTCCAACGTTTAATACTGCCTCCTTCGTCGTTTACAGAAGAAACATAATTTATTTCCTTATCATCTTTATACTTGGGATTAGAATCATTAGCTTCACAGTTCGCGGTAGATTTTTCTTGCTCGTGTAAAAGATCCAACAGATGACTGTTAAAATATAGAAAACATTTAATAAATAAGGTACGATTTTGTTTTAATGCAATGAAAATGAGTACAGTTCGTTGCTGACTCGAAGTCCCGCGGCAAGAATGCGGGAGAAGTAGAGGGGGAAGTACTGTACAGCGATGACTTGATGGCTAGGCACGCTGATTGGCCGTAGCTTAATAGCGACACCTGCTCTCATACGCATTGTCGTTATTGGCTGAGTCGCTAACAATTACAATTCCATCGCGTGACAAAGGACGCGAACGAAACGTACAGGAACAGAGTAGGTTAGGACGCTCAAAATACTAGCCATGAATAGAACAAAAGTGTATCTCTTGAGGTTATGGAGACCCCACTACTATGTAGCGTGACGTCAGAGCGGGCCTCTATGGTGGGAATAAACCTTCTCTCCTTGCCCTTGCCGCGTTTAGTTTGTCGGTGCCTAGTCAACAAGTCATCTCTGAATAGTACGCGTATTCCCACGTAAACATTAACCTCTAGCTCGCTATTGGTCGCGACAGTTGCCCCTGTGCCGTCCCGCGGGTCATCAAATCAGCGGTGAACTGTTTTAGTAACATATTAACCAGAGAAATTCTGAACTGTCTTGTTGTTGACCCGGCAGAAAGTAAGCAGGACGAGAGGCCAACAAAATTTCAGTTGGCGCCAAGGAAATCCTCTTCGAGTACAACAAAAGAGTAAATAGATTTTGTAACTTATTAATTACAGCCTGGTCGTCGGTTTTGCTCAAAGATTTGTACATTAATACTTCGTAACAAAATCGTCTGGTCATTAACAACGATTGTAGTACACTATTCATATAACACGTGTTTCCAAGATTCGAAAGCCCGACTTTCCCATTGTGCGGTTTCGGTGATTCGATTATTGGCTCGATTATTTCGGTTTCATCCATCCAGACGTGATCGTTCCATATTTCCTTACAAATGTTCATTCGTGGTTGCACTAGGAAACTATTGTCTAAATGACCGTATTGACATAGATCCGGGAACCTTATCATAAGTATTTTCATAATATCGAGTAAGTTTTGTCTACATTCCATGCTCGAATCGGAATCTTCTTTTATTAAGTAAGTCAATGCCATTTGTGTATTTCGCAGTATAGTTCGAAACAGGGACGGAGATCCTTGCCTTTTTAAAATATAAAATATAACCGTGGAAGCATTTTGCCGGATCACTGGTACTAACAAAGCGCGAAACATTACGTCCAGCGTTGCCTTTGCCACCTCTATAAGTATAGAATATTTATGTTGTTTTTCTAAACCGTATATAAATTCCATAATCCAAATGCTAAGTCGATCCCCTCTCCATTTTGGAAGCCAATGACACAGAACTCTTAAAGCTTGGGCTAACTGAAAATCACTGTGCGATTCGGAAACAATCCAGTCCACAGCTTGCGGAATAATAGACGGTTCCACCAGTTGTAATACAGCCGCTAAGCCAGGTCCTGGATCTTGTTTACGTTCTGTATCCGATATAATTCTATATAATGTTTGGAGGCATATAAAAATTAAATTATCGTTTTCAATGTTTTCAGACTTTGTTCGCATAACTTTTAAAAAGTTTTGAACTTTGGTCGCATTCTCAGTGAACTCTGAAATCTTTTTTGGATCAGGCGGCATTGAAAACGTGGAGAGACTTATAACGATTGCTTCGCATAGCTTCGAATGATTCGTAGATTCTGGTAAATATACGCTGTGTTCCAGTAAGGTTTGAAGAATCATTGTTAAATCAGACATGTCGGTGATCTCAGTGTTCCGTAACATAGCTGCAACATCGTTTGAGATTGGATTGATGCAGAACGGTTTGTCGGTTAAATATTTTGAGAACCATGTCAGGACTTTTGGAACCTCATGTACATTTAATATCTGACCGTTAAGTATTTCTCTTAAGATACATTCGTAATTGTTTAATTGTCTGTAGAGAGGCTCGGTTTGTAGTTTTTCAAGTTTGGTCCATCCTTCGGTAACCTCTACACCTTTGCCAGCCACTATTAAATTTATACATTGTTTGACGTCGTATTTAAGAATTTGTTCGGTATCCATTTCTCGTCGATTATATCGCTTTCACTACACTTTAAACTACTTCTCTACAATTTTTAATTAGAACTATTATTAACCTCAACCGAGAATGACTTTCACGAAAATCTAAATGATTTCGTGATCTAGAGAAATAAAAAAAAATACAGATGTTAACTTCATGATAGGAAAAGTAACTATACTTGCGATGAAGTTAAAGGTTACTTTTCATTTCAAAACTACAGAGATTAACCAAAGAGTATATACTCTGTATACTCTGTATAGACCTAGCATCTTATAGGAAAAACAGAAGTGCATATCGACCTCGTTAGAAATCAATGGTTTTATAGCACCGCGGACGAAGTACAGTCGGCCCCATAAGTATTTCTACCCTCGAGGCTTGTATAAAAATTTTCGATAAGAATAAAGTTATAGTTCGGCCCAGTTACCGGAATCACTCTGCATTTACGTCAAAGTCAATATCTCATCTATAGTGCCACCATACGGCTATAGCGATCAATAACTTTCATAGACTTTAGGTCCATGGTGACTTTCAGGGGAAGGTAGAAGCATCCGTATCCGTTGATATCACCTCGTGTAACTTTAATCTATGGTACTATTCGTCGCAAGTATAGCAGTGTGTGTAGCTCATACGTAACGTTAGGTATCGTACATGATGTGTGCACGTTGTATCTGCATTGCGAAGTATAGATATAGCGATAAACAGTGAAAGATTAAGTTTGCAATATACGACATAGAGGCTTGGGAGTAAGTGCAAGCGTTCATTAAGGTTGACACGTTGATGGAGTGTCATTAGATTACGCGTCGTATTGGACAAAATTATCTTCCGTCACGCTTCTTAGCAGCAGACTTTACGTATCGCAAGCGTGTATAGTGCCCTTTGTCGGGCACAAAAAAAATCGTGAAAATTGCATATATTTCGCGAGAAGATATGCCAGACAGTGGTGCTGTTTATCAACCCACGACAGTGGGTTATACGTATGATAGCGGAGGTGATGGTGCTGGGGGCGGCGGCGGGTTAAGAAGTGGCTTTTGGAGAATCATATCCAGGCATAAACTCAGTTCTAGAAAATGGTTCGAATCTGTATTGCTTTCCGTCGCTGTATCGTTTTTCATTGCTGGTTTGACAACAATGCTGGTCAGTTTAGTGTCGGAGGACACATCGCAGGAAAATAAAATAGAGGTAACTTTAGAACTGTTTGCTAATCGTTTCATGCAAGTATCCGTACTACGCGAATGTGTATTCTGATTTATGAACAATGACGTCATGTTACATGTTACATTAAACTAAAATATTTCGACACGAGCTTGAATGAGTAAACAAGTTTTACCTGAATTAACAGGTGTGTTGTCAATATTTGAGAAATGTCAATTTTCATTTTTAGGTAGTACTTTCGTATAAGTTGAATAGTATTTTTAATTCGTAAATTGTTGACTAGCAGATGGCTTAATGATAGAATACAAGGCAGAGTCGGGTCATATTCGATCCATGATATACTTATTTGTAGTTTCGAAAATAAATAATTCTTGTTTTAAGAAATAGAAACACTAATTTTAAAATAAATTATTATGGGTCGATACTGGCTCAGCTTTGCTCAGGTGGTTAAAATAAATTGATTAAGTTTAGTGGTTTCATAGTCGTACATTGTTCTCGTGTATTATGTGAACTTAAAGTAGAAAATGGTTATAGATAAAGACGAATTTCCCTCCAACGACACCTGCAACAAATGTAGAAGAACATGTCGAAGACACTGCGAAAAGTTCTGTAGCATTAGGTGCTGGTATGATGCTGGTGGGTCTATTATTGGGCTTCGGTTGGGTATGGCTTCGTTTCTTCCATCGCGGCAAATCACCAAGAAGCGGAATGGTTGGAAGCAGTGGTCAGGTAGGCGAGATATATTCATTAGATATGTATTTTGAGTTTGGTTTTATTTACCGGAAGCGTTCCATGCTCTGGTTCGTACGTTCGTTTCTTTATCTTATATACGCGTTGCTATGAGGAAAGATGTTGGGCGGTTTGAATCCATCGACTGACTTGCTGGTGGGTTCCACTTCGCAGTACGGGCCAGTACTCACGGAGTTGCCGAGTCAACTGAAGATGAAACAGTCAAGTTCCCATGATACACCGGCGATACCGCTTTCTGATCAGGAAGAAGAGACACGTACATTAATGCAGGATTCTACGATTCCTCCGTCTGTCTCCATTGGCCCTAATACTATCGCTAATCAGATTCCAGGTTGAGTACAAAGGCTAGCTGCATCGATGTGTAGTAAGAACACACGACATGGACATTGTTTTAATTTTATGCGAATCAACCTGAATCGCACTTCTCTGCCATTTTGCCGTTTAATTTGATTTACCTACAGACAGAACATTTATCCTTTCTAACATTCTTTGGTAGCTAATTGTTATCAATTTTTGTAAATGCGTTTGTACTTTTTCTTTTGCCTGATCAGTTTTAAAATGTAAAAAGTTTATTTCCATAGAATGTCGGCACAAGTACTAGTATAAGGTTTTTCGATTACCATAACTTTTTTTTTATTTAAAATTTCGCCCCTTTGCTTTTATCTATGCATTCCTCCACTCCGTCCATTATCATTGGTGATATGTTAGATAAGCATTGGATCCAGATGTTCGAAATATTCAAAGGAAATGGTTGAAATGTAATATGATCTGTTTTTCAGAATATTATTTTCACTATTATTTAAATGTATAGCATGTTCAGTAGTAATACCAATGTCAATGTTCTTGGTATGGTTGTGAGTTATATTAGTGCAGTATTGGCCTTGCCGAAAGACCAGATTACGGATGCATGTATAAACAAGTAATATTTTATATTCTGTCCAAATTGAATATAACAACGTTCGTTGAGTGTGATTGACAATATTCGTAACAAAGTATTTGCTCATCTGTACGTATATGAAGAGAAATGAGCAGTAACACATGGTGGTACTAGCAAAGTAAACGAGATGTGTATATATTAGAATAACATACGTAAATTACAATACAAGGTTGTCCTATACTTTCAAATTAAGTTGAAATGGGTGCGACACGGAGCAGTGAAGAGAACGCGCTGCACAATTTTTTGTTGTATTAGTTTATCTTTTTTATACTTGTGTTAGTTATAATTGGTACACCTAACTGCATACAATTTAATTAGCATGTATGCCTATTATAATACACATACATATTTTATAATATAAATATTTTGACTCTTTAATGGAATTTTGGACTCCGTTTTACTGATTTTTCATGTAACTATTAAGACTGGGTAACGTTGTGTATATATCTGTAAGGTAATTTACAGTGAAGGTGTTCTGATTATCAGCTATAAATTTAAACAGGTTATAAAAATATTTCTAAGTGAAATTTGTTATTTATGTATAAATATAATATTATTTCATATCAAAATTTCATTTATGATAAGTGATCGTTTTATCATACATACAAACATAATTATTTACAAATAATGTTATTTAATTTTAACGTTTTATAAGTTTATTATAACGTGTGAAACATAACTTTCGTAGAAGGACGGGGTTAATCGATTTGTTAATAAAAATTTATGAACGAGCATATTTTCAAGAATTTAGAAAATCTAAAAGCTTTATCTGGATTCAATGCTGTCGTAGAATAAATATACATAACATCATTAGTTTTTCAATGATTTGTGTAAAGTCCGTGCTATATTAATTCATGATTTATGCATTCATTTATGTAAGTACTCAAATTATATAAGAAAAATAAATAACTAAAAAGTAATGTATAGACATTTATGATTCTGTTCTTTCCTTGTTGAAATTTTTCAAAGTACAGTATGAATGTATTTATTATACAATTAATAACGTTTTTAAAAAATTATTTAGTTTGTTCTGTTTGAAACTTGAGCAACGTAAACCGTTAACACACAACATTACGTGTTAATTTGCGAGTTGTCATTAGTTAGTGCACATGCGCAGGTTGCATGGGACTCGAATTTGAAATTGTCTGTTACGAAAAAAAGGTGTAAAAGGTTATGTCGGTTTGTGTTGTTTTTAAATCGTGTCGGGGATTGTGTAGTGCGTATTGTTACGTTACCGAAAAATTACATTTTGTTTGTTGTGCCCACTGTAATCTTAGAATGAGTAAAAAATTAAAATTTGATACTCTTTCATCATCGAGATCTCTACGATCTGGAGATAAAGCCGGCAGTACAGATTCGTCGAGCACAACATCCAAATATTTTGACGATGATAGCGTTTCGCCGAAGAAAACGGAGAAAAAGAAGCGTGCGCCGATAAAAATAAAATACGAAGAAACAGAAAATGTGAACGACGCAAAGATTTCTAAAGTAAAAACTGAAGATGAGATTGAAACAGGAGGGAATAATTGGATGCCACCAAACTGGGAAACTGTCCTGGAAAATATTAAAGAAATGAGAAAATACGGAACAGCGCCCGTAGACGAAATGGGTTGTCACAAGTGTGCCGATCCCAAAGCTTCCGCCAAAGTCACCAGGTTTCAATCGTTAATTGCATTGATGCTTAGCAGCCAGACCAAGGATCAAGTTACTCACGCAGCTATGCAGAGATTAAACAGCCACGGATGTACTCCAGAAACAATAGCAGGTACTCCCGACGATACTCTTGGAAAGCTTATATATCCGGTCGGATTTTGGAAGGTATATTTTGTGTAAACATTTCTTGTTAAAGAAAAAACTAATTGGTCAATGTACTGTTTTAAAAATGTAACAATCTCTTCCAGAGGAAAATGGAATACATCAAAAGAACATCGGTAATTTTAATAGACAAATATGACGGTGACATTCCTAAAACTTTAAAGGAATTGTGCGACTTGCCGGGCGTGGGACCAAAAATGGCTCATATTTGTATGCAAATAGCGTGGGGCGAAGTTTCAGGTATCGGCGTGGATACACACGTGCATCGTATCTCTAACAGATTGAAATGGGTAGAGAAGCCAACAAAGACACCGGAAGGAACAAGAATTGCGTTAGAAAAGTGGCTTCCAAAAGATCTTTGGAAAGAGGTAAATCATTTGTTAGTTGGGTTTGGGCAAGAAATTTGCTTACCACGATTTCCTAAATGCGGCGAATGCTTGAATAAAGATATATGTCCATTCGTTGGGAACGGTGGAATGCAAAAGAAGAGATAATTTTTTGAAAATGTTTATTATAAATTGTACTTATTTACAATACATACAAAGTACTCAGCTACGTAACTTTTTCTTCGATTTTCCGCTACGTTTTTGGATCTTTTCTACTTTCTTAAGTTTCCTCAAACTTTCTTTTTTATTCTTCTGACGGTTTAAGTTCTGTTTCTTTTGAAATGCTTTACTTTTTCTTACTTGTTCCAAGGCAGCTTTCCTTATTGTTCGTTTTACGTCTTTCCTATTACAGATCTGTGTATCTTTTGTAATCTCTTTTGAACTTTTAACCGTTTTCCTTTTCTTTAGCGTCATTCCAACAATTTCTTCGTCGTCTTCAGAATTCTGATCGCTCTGTTCTTCTTCCTTACTTTCCGTTTCATCGGTACCTTTATTTTCACCGATTAATGCATTTTTTTCCGCAAAATCTGCAACATTTAACTCTAAAATACTAACGGTGTGCCCATCTGTTTCAAATTCTCGCTCCGATAATAATTGTTGAATTTCAGGAACATCACGACTTGATAACAACTTCTTGTAACTTTCCTTTGCCTGCGATGATAATGAATTTCATTATTTTGATATTAATGATATCGGTGCATATACCTACATCGTGTTTAATTCTTTTCCGTTCTTCTTTCAATTGTTGCTGTAACTCCTCCTGAGCTTTTTTCTTCCGTTGTAATTTTCTTTTGTGAAATCCCGTCAAAAAGTCTCTACATTTGAAAGCGAACTATGTTTACAATGTTCATAACCTCTTTGGCTTGATCAATTAACGCGAGTATAATTACCGTCTTTTATCTTCGTCGAATACGAGCGTAATCTTCCTTCGTTTTCTCGGTTGACCAGGTATCCTATTCACATTAAGTAATTTTGGTTGCTGGTTCGCGCGTGCCGCCATATCCACGTGAGTCGATTTACGTATAGGTTATATTTTCGTTATGAATATTACATACAGCAATGCAACGAAGATTAGTGCTACTGACGTGTAAAATAATTGAAAACACAAAGAAAGAAATTAGTATTAGGCGTTGTATAACTTCGATACAACATTTACCTAATTATTTTAGATATTTACAAGCGTGAAAAAAGGTTTAATATTTCCAAATCGAAAGTCAAAGAATTAAGTGCACGCAGGCTTTAAAAACTTAACGAGATCGTTGATTTACCGAATTTGTCGAAGAAAATTTTCAAACGATATAAATGCGCGAAGGGATTCTTTTCACAGCAATATGCATTCGGTTTCGTCAGTAAATCGAATCATATAATATATTGTATAATTGTTTATTTTAAAAAGAGCAGAATATTAGCACACTGCATACATAAAACTCAACTTAATTTCTAACATCTTAAAAATATTTGAATAATTGTTTGCATGTGTTTCAATTCGCACCTATTCTCTGAATACAATACTGATATATTTATACCCAATGTAGCTATTAATACGAAATGATATTAAAGTAACTTTGAACGTGTTTCACAGTAATTAATTGCTTCGAAATAGTTTAAATGCTATCGTGTGACTTGGTACTTTGTTTACGATAATTAGCGCAGAGTTCTCGTTATTATAGATGCAAAAGTGTTGGAATAAATGTGGTCCGATTTCGCGAAACCCTCGTACGGGATCTGATATTCGCGCATGCGTGGGAAATCCTTTTCATGAAAAGAATCCCTCAATCTGGTAAGACGTAATATAGCACTATGGGACATGTGCGTGAGGAACGGTCAGCGTGGTGAGTCGGCTCGCCGCTATAGTACTTAGGTGGAAATCGTTCATTTTCAACGAGAATGTATCGGGTATAAGTGAATGGTTCCTTTCACGAGAAGATCCGTCGGTAGGCAGGCAGCTTTAGGGCGGGGACTCTATTGATTTAAATTTGGTTTGCCGGTGCGCGTGTCAATAGTCAACACACTGCCGCGAAGAGCGCGCGCTCAAGCACCAACCGTTTACACCGCTCCGTGTTGTTCGGATCTAAAGGTTAGGCCCTTCCCGGTGCAGTCACTAAAGATATGTCGTCTAGTATGAAAAACGGAACGATCAACGTTACGGATCATTTGAATGGACCCACTCGCTTCCAGAGCGTCATACCGCAAAAAAGGTCAGTCTTTTTACCGGCTAATTTCTGGTTCGTGTCGGCTCCGAATGGAACCCGATACGGGAGAATATCGCGAAAAATAACCGCGACACCATGAACGTTTGTTGAATTATTTGTAACCACGCCTTAAGGCCTGGTATCAGCTGACTCATCGACAGATGTACGAACCAATGCACCCTTCGTACTATTCGAGCATGAAAAAGATTGAGATCGATCGATAATATTTTTTTTTTTGTCGTTAGTCGACGTGATTACCACTGCCGTGGGATTTCGGTTCGTTAACGCGCGACAAACGTGAAAACCAACGGAACGTTCGATTTGTCTCGGTCGTTTGTTGCTGTCGGTTCAAAGTTTTCCCACAAAAATTGATTCATTTACCGGATTCTTGTTTGCTGTGTGAGATGTTAATACCCTTTCTACCGATTGGTTATACGATTAGTCACGTGGTGTCGGAAATGCGCGCCGAATCTGTCGCGAATTTCGACTCGAAAGATATACCTTCTATACTAATTAGTTTAGAGGAAAATATATGTTAAAATGGTGATAGTGCGTGTTGAATAACGTTATTCCTTTCTGAACATTTAAAGGCAAGAGTTATTGAAGTGGAATGGCTGGGGATACAAGGATTCGGAATTTCGCGTTAACGAAAGGAATATCCTCGAGTTTACTGGCAATCGGTGAGTCTTTTATAAATAATAACATAACTATATCGATTGTGTGGAATAATGTGGCATGTCGTTTCTTCTTCTGTTATCTGTATTTATGTATATTTTTGTAATCTTCAACTACCGCCTACATAATCGACAGATAAGTTTTGTTTCCGATTTTTCCTTTCTTTTTTTTTTTTTTTTGCTTCACAAGAAAAAAATTTTTTTTATGCGAGTAAATTAACTCTTGTTTCATAGATTTATAGCAAGATTGATTTGAGAAAATTATTTTGAGATATATATGAATCTTAATGGCGTTTAATCGATTGAAAAACGTTAAATTAATAGCTTTATTGATTTTGAAGCAGCAAGTAAAGAAATCTATACGTGCGTGGATCGTTAGTAAACAACTCTAACGAAAGTAAACAAATGGAAGCTCAAATAAGCATCTATAATGGGTTCTTAGAATCTTCATACAGCCTTCAGTGTCTTTATCGTTTTTCATATTTGATTCTCGCATTCAAAATGCGCAAGAAATCTTTACAAGAAATACGGAAAACAGAATGCTGCCCCGTTTGTATTTAATCATTCGCATATTTATATCACGTCAAGTAAAAGTGATTCCAAAGGAGACTTTGCGAGTTCATTTCACGTCAAGATGATTTAATTGGTATCAATTGGCATTCGCATTATCAAAGTCTGCTCTAAATCGAAATTACCATTTTCAATCTTCAACGTCGTCGTACTCGTTGCATTTGCATTTCTTCAGACTGAATACTTTTTCCTTGCTACTAATTGTTATTATTTGTTTATTTACAATATACAGGGTGTTTGGACCTGGGAAAAATTTTAAGGGGAGATTCTAGAGGCCAAAATAAGACGAAAATCAAGAATATAAATTTCTTCACTGAGGCTTCGTTAAAAAGTTATTAATAATTTTTTCAACAATTTTAAATCGTTCTAAAAAAATTATTTTCGGCTGCGGGGGTCAATTACAATCATTTTTGGTGAATAGACATACCCTCGAAATCCTAGCCACTTTCAAGAAAAAAATTCGAGAAGGTGGGAAATTTTTTGACAAAATTAAAAAATTTCGAATCGTTTTAGAAAAATTATTTTCAGTTGCGGGGGTCAATTACAATAATTTTTGGTGAATAGACATACCCTCGAAATCCTAACCACTTTCGAGAAAAAAATTCGAGAAGGTTTGAAGTTTTTCGACAAAATTAAAAAATTTCAAATCGTTCTGGAAAAATTATTATCAGTTACGGGGGTCAATTACAATCATTTTTTGTGAATAGACATACCCTCGAAATCCTAGCCACTTTCGAGAAAAAAATTCGAGAAGGTTTGAAGTTTTTCGACAAAATTAAAAAATTTCAAATCGTTCTGGAAAAATTATTTTCGGTTGTGGGGGTCAATTGCAATAATTTTTGGTCATTAGACATACCCTCGAAATCCTACCCACTTTCGAGAAAAAAATTCGAGAAGGTGGGAAATTTTTTGACAAAATTGAAAAATTTCAAATCGTTCTAAAAAAATTATTTTCGGTTGTGGGGGTCAATTATAATCATTTTTGGTGAATACACATACCCTCAAAATCCTACCCACTTTCGAGAAAAAAATTCAGTACGAGCGGAACTTTAATTGTTAATAACTTTTTAACGAAGCCTCCATCAATAAATTAGTATTCTTGATTTTCGTCTTAGTTTGGCTTCCAGAATCTCCCATTAAAATTTTTCCCAGGGATGGCCGAACACTCGGTATAATTTTAATATGCAATTGTAATTTCCAACATGTAATAGATTCTTTATGAAATTAATAGTAAAAGTAATTAACATTTATACTCAGACGATCGTTCAAACTTGTAGCAAAGTTAAAATACGCTATCCTGTAATTACAAAGGGTACTAAAAAGTTTTTCGTTGCACTCTGCAACGCCAAAAATCAACTTTTTCGTTATCTTTATTATCTTTCGAGAAGACAATTTGTAACGCTTTATATAATGTACAGTACATCAATGAAGTTAAAAAGAAATTCGATTGTATCTACGACGTATTACGATACGGTGGTAATTAGTAATTAACACAGGTACGCGTTTAATTAAATGGGGTTCTAGTAATTGCACGATAACATGGTAATTATTAGCATGCGAAGGCTGACGCATTTTGATTACGCGTGTTAGTTAATTAATACCTAACAATAATAATTATTGCATAGTACTAAATTTTATAATAATTTTAAGGGCTCCTTGGCCCTTTTTAAATCAATCTTACGCAATATAGAGTTACCTTTCAGTTAATTTCATTTATCATAAAAGTCAGGATTTTCAATATTAATTTAATATTCAAAAACGTTATTTCGAGAAACATTGCACAGAAAGGGTCCATGGACTCCGTTAAAAAGGTCGAAGAACCACAGTTATCAAGGGTCCCAAAGTTCACTAAAACAAACTCTCGTGTAAATTCGAGGGCCCTCGTAAATACTAGGATCGGGCCAAATGGACTAGGCCCACTTGTGGCTGGGCCTCATTTTAACCACAGAAATTTATGTACATTTGATGGGGACCATGATTTTTGAAACCATGAAGAGCCAAAACCCGAGGAACACGTATGTGCTCAGATCTCGAATATGCCAACGTATTTACGTCAAAAAAAATATAAGAATTTGAATTACAAATTTTCCCGGGACTCGTTATTTAAATTTACGCTACACAATACCCGCGTATCGTGCGTTAGAAACTGCGTTAAAAACACATTTTTTTTTTTTTATAAAAAGTTTCTATAATTTTGTATTTTACAAAGTTTATCTTTTCGTACGTAACGAGCTTACGGTAGATTAGATAGACGCGACGCATTTTTACCGTAACCGGATCCGACGAGTCACCTACTTTCGGTTCTTTACGACAATTACTTGGAAAAACTATTATTAGCATCTCTCTTAAGGACCTGGACGACATTTTCTTTGATTCGAACCTCGAAGACGGAATATTCTGCAATGAAATTCGATGCGTTATTTTGCAGCGAATTAATGCTGGACTCTGAGCAAACGCTGGTAGAAACGACCACGTTAAAATGTATGTTTCGATTGTGTGGTTAAGTGTACCGATTACGTGGCGTTGAAGTGCACGACGAAAAGAATACATTCGGTTTGTTTGATCGTTCGTGGAAATGCAATTAGGACTCGCGCAATGGACGACGCTAATAGATCTCTTTGCAATTCGAATGTAACGTAAAATCGCCGAGAGAGCGCGATCGACGCGTTCTCGCGTGGAACTCGTTTCCCCGTCGGATGTCGTAAGTCGCGAGAAGTTTCGTCTTCGTCTCGTGTTTGTCCTGTCAGCCTTGGAACGTGGATGAAGTGTGCTCGACTGTATTCGGTAAATGAATTCTAATGAACGCGAACGCGAACGGACACGGGACGCGAGTGCAGCGGGAAAGTGTTAATTTGGAAACTGGCAACGGAACATTTCACGCGCGTTTCCAGCGTGATTTTTTTCGAGCCCACGGTTTCCGCGGAAGAACGGAGGAGTCGGGTTACACGGTGACTCACGAAATTTATCAAACGCTTCCCTTTTATTACACTTTTTATTTAATTAGAATGTAATTGTTGACTACTTAGACGTTCCAGTTAATTTTATGGAAAAATTACGGGCTCTTGATGGTGACTAAAATTTTATCTTTCAGTCGACGACGTTGACTGCAAATTGAGAAATAAGAATAACTTTATAATCAGTCTTAATAGGTTTCACACACTATCTGAGAGGTTTGTTAAGTAGAAAGTACTATACAGGGTGTTCGGCCAATCCTGGGCCTTCTAGAAGCCAAAATAAGACGAAAATCAAGAATATCAATTTTCTGACTGAGGCTTCGTTAAAAAGTTATTAACAATTAAATTCAAAAATTTCAAATCGTTCTGGAAAAATTATTTTCGGTTGCGGGGGTCAATTACAATCATTTTTGGTGAATACACATACCCTCAAAATCCTACGCATTTTCGAGAAAAAAATTCGAGAAGATGTGAAATTTTTCGACCGGAAAAAAAAATTTCAAATCATTTTGGAAAAATTATTTTCAGTTGCGGGGGTCAATTACAATCATTTGTGGTCATTAGACATACCCCCGAAATCCTACCCACTTTCTAGAAAAAAATTCGAGAAGATGTGAAATTTTTCCTCGGAAAATAAAAATTTCAAATCGTTTTGGAAAAATTATTTTCAGTTGCGGGGGTCAATTACAATAATTTTTGGTCATTAGACATACCCTCGAAATCCTTGTCACTTTGAAGAAAAAAATTCGAGAAGATGGGAAATTTTTCCTCGGAAAATAAAAATTTCAAATCGTTTTGGAAAAATTATTTTCAGTTGCGGGGGTCAATTACAATAATTTTTGGTCATTAGACATACCCTCGAAATCCTTGTCACTTTGAAGAAAAAAATTCGAGAAGATGTGAAATTTTTCGACCGGAAAAAAAAATTTCAAATCATTTTGGAAAAATTATTTTCAGTTGCGGGGGTCAATTACAATCATTTTTAATGAATAGACATACCCCCGAAATCCTGCACATTTTCGAGAAAAAAATTCAGAACGGGTGGAACTTTAAATGTTAATAACTTTTTAACGAAGCCGCCATCAACAAATTAATATTCTTGATTTTCGTCTTATTTTGGCCTCTAGAATCCCCTTGTTCCCCTTTGTTCATAACGAAAACGTTTATATTATATGAATTTAAATTGTAATATTATTGTAAAGTATTGGAGATGTAAAATTAAAAAGGAGGCCAATCGAGGAATTTCGACTCGTTGATTTTGACTGAAAAAATTGTAATATTTAAATAGATGCGCATGTACACAGTATGTATACGTTATAATGGGGTCAGAGTCGTGTATCTACGAATCCACGCAACTCCAGGCTGTGTAATTCGAGGACTTACTGTATATGAGCTAATACCCGAGAACAGCATCCAGCAGTTTTCGCTTGATTACAACATCGATAATAATATGATAGAACGCATTCAACTGTACTTTCTATTATGTCTGTGACAATGAAAATATAACGTGATTTATAACTGTACTAAGAAGTTTGACTACGTAATTACGAATGCACTCTTCGACACAGTTCTAATTTTATTGATTGGATACAATTTACTAGATTTAATTTTATAATTGTCAATAATTGGTATAAAATATGAAATTAAAATAGATATAAATAAAATCCTCAAATTCATTCAATAATATTTTGACCAATATATGGTAATGCAGATTATAAATTTGTAATTACAGTTGCACCTCAAAATGATATTTGCCCTCGAGGTAACATACTCTAAAAAAGCTGTAGCTATTGAAAGTAATAAAATAATAATTCCAACAAATCATACATTAATTGATTTAAATAAATGACAATAAATATTTCGTCCAATATGTAAATAAATACAAACAAAATATATCGAAGCTCCATTCATATGAATAAGACGAATTAATCAACCTTTATTAACATCTTTTACAATATGAATAACCTAAAATTTATAAAATGAATATCCTAAAAAAGCTGTATGTATTAGAACGAAGATTCTAATTTTAATTTTATTTTTCCACGTTTCACATAACTTATCAATTATTTGTATGATTTTTCTGTCTCCCTTTTACATTCAGCTGTACACAAAGTATAATTGCTAACCTCGTCGAATTGTAAGTGACATAACTTCCGTCCTCAATCTTCATTTCGATAACATTAAATATAATTTACGTCATCGTACTGTCGTTTTATTTTTTATTTATTAATCTTGGCTTATTACAAAGATACAATCGAAAGAAATTTCTATACCATGTTCGTTATCTGTGTATTTAGCACTTCGAGACATTCATATACCTTTCGTCGTTTGAAGGTTATGAATCCATCGTGACTGTCGCCTCCCCTTATTCGCGCTCTCTAATAAACTTAGGGGAAATTGATGATGTCCACACACAGATCTACTCACAAATTCTTCCATTATTCAAATAAATTTTTTTTTTTGTTTATCGAGCAGAAAAAATTCCTCGTGTCAATTGGGATCAAAGTTCTTTTGGACTAACCATAATTCATACAGTATGTCGTTGAATTTTATTAACTGATCAAACATGTCTATTTTGCATGTTACACCATTAGCTGCATATTGAATAATAATGAATAAGATGCACTCAAAGTAAAGTCGTCTTTGACATTTGTAATCAATATTGACTAGTTTGTAATTTATCATGCTGTGATTATCAAATATGTAATTAACGACATCTTTTTTGATGTTGAAATTAAATTAGAAATAATGGCAAAAACCATTCCTTTTTGTGAGTGGAATTATCAACATAGTTGTAACGATCTTCGACCACGCTATAGATTTGTAGGTAATCTCGGTGATAAGATATGCTATTTAAATACAACTAATCGTAATAGACGTGGGAGGCGCCATTTTGATTATCTCCAACTCTTTATCCGTTATTCGTGCGAATATTAACGATTGTAAAAAGGTTTTGGTAGAAACAATGTTAATCAAATTGCACGTTTTGGCGCCAATAACGAATTAAATGTTTATAGGTATCCAATTGGAAACAAAGAACTTCCATATTTCACTCAATGGGTCCAAGACGTGCTGGGCGTGAATTTAACCAGGAAGAATGTGTCCCAACCTGTGCCAACAAACTTACCAGAACCGATTATATCGCCGGAACACTTGGAAGCTATTCAGGAATTAAAAATCGAATACTCCACAAAAGGAATCGATCGACTCGTCAGAGCACACGGGCACACACTTCGAGAAATCTTTACTCTGAAGCATGGGACGTTCAAAAGACTACCAGACGTGGTCCTCTGGCCAAGTGAGTTCGACAAAATTCTAAATAATCCTTATAATAATTACAAACTGTTTTTGTTTTATTTTAATATCATTACAATTTATCGGTGCATTTTTAAAAATATATTATATTAATTTTTGGAACAGAATTAAACTAATTTTTATTTTTATCGGTGAAGTATTATAATGGTTTACTACTCCTCTACTATGTCATTTGGAATTCTTTCAGCTCTACAGTGTTTATCGATTATCGAAGATAGCGGTGGGAGTGAACGAGTTCTCAAGCCTTGACTTAGATATACCTACACTATAATTTCTGAAACGTGTTTTCTATTGTACGGAACGAGCCGCGAATGAATCATGAATATAAGTCGAATCAGAGAATAGTAAAAATAAACGACGCTTTTTCTATCATCGTCTATTTTTCCTATTTGCTTGCACTTTATTTATAGAAATTTGATTTGATAATTCGATTAAGTTCTCTGGTCTAAACTAAAAAATTGTAATTATAATTTCTTTGTTAATAATAAAACGATGCATGTTGCAGGGTGTCACGAGGACGTCGTGAAAATAATCAAACTATGCGCTCGGTATGGATCAGTCTGTATACCGTTCGGAGGTGGAACCAGCGTCAGTGGCGCCTCCTCTTGTCCAGTGAACGAACGAAGGACGATAATTTTATTGGACACCTCGCAGATGAATAGAATATTATGGATAGATAGGGAAAATTTAATCGCCTGTTGCGAGTCCGGTATCGTCGGTCAGGATCTTGAGAAACAACTGCGCCTCCAAGGTCTGACTTCCGGTCACGAGCCCGATTCTTACGAATTTTCTAGGTACGCGATATCATATTAAGAGAGTGCTGTATACATGAACTAATTAAATAGTTCTTAACACTTTAATGGCCGCGCGTATCACGTGAAGACCGTTGTTTATCATCATTGATATTGTAGACCAATGTGAGGTAACTAACTAACTAACCAACTACAAACTAAGTAAATAACAAACTAACTAACTAACTGACTAACTGACTAACTAACTAACTAACTAACTAATTAACTAACTAACTAACTTCAAACTATCTAACTAACTAACTAACTAACTAACTAACTTCAAACTAACTAATTAACTAAGCAACTAACTAGCTATCTAACTAACTAACTAACTAACTAGCTATCTAACTAACTAACTAACTAACTAACTAACTGCAACCTAACTAACTAATTAACGAATTAATGGAATATAGGATATAAATGTAATAAAAATAGGAAATAGGAATTATAAATGTAACCTCAACAAACGTGATAAGTTGAATGTATGATGAAATGGTGGCTGATACAGTAGATCACGCACACGTGACAGTGGCCAAAATCTGCTAGCTAGCGAAGTCACGTATACGTGACAGCGGCCGTCAAAGTGTTAACAACGGAATAACAGTAGCGTAGAATAATTTGTTTTTGATAACAAAATTAGCTAAAATATTGGCATAATCGTTCCTGTTTGTTGAAAGAACAGCTTAGGCGGATGGGTCGCGACGAGGGCGAGCGGCATGAAGAAGAATCGATATGGAAATATCGAGGATCTAGTCGTTCGAGTGAGGATGGTTACTGGCAGAACGGAGGATCCCGAGATAACGTTGGAAAGGGGCATACTGGTGCCCCGGGCCTCGTGCGGGCCCGATTTCGATCATATAATCCTGGGTAGCGAAGGAACGCTGGGCGTCGTCACGGAAGTAGTGTTGAAGATTAGACCAATACCAAAAGTAGTTAAATACGGTAGCGTAGTTTTCCCGAATTTTCAAACCGGCGTACAGGCACTGCGTCAGGTAAGCGTTCATCGTCAACTAAAACTTCTCTGTAACGAAATCATTCGCAAGCATATACAGTAGTGGCCACATAAATGACCTTGACCACTTATGCGGGCACTACTGTATATTAAAACGTTTCAAACGCTATTTAGAAAAGAAAAAGCTTGGACGACTGGTCGGGTAGGATCGTCGAGCGTTAATAATTTCTCATACTTACGAGTAGGTAGCCAAAGAACGATGCCAACCGGCCAGTATACGTTTGATGGACAACGAACAGTTTCAGTTCGGTCAGGTGCTACGACCAGAGACCGGCTGGGGCGGTTTGATTCTACAGGGACTGAAACAAGCCTACATCACGAGGATAAAGCGTTTCAAGTGGGATCAGTTGTGCGTTGCCACGCTGCTGTTCGAGGGCAGCACCTCCGCGGACGTGGCGGCGCAGGAGCGAAAGATATACGATATCGCGAAACAGCACTACGGCGTGCCAGCGGGAGAAACGAACGGCGAGCGTGGATACGTTCTCACGTTCGTGATCGCGTACATACGCGACCTCGGTCTCGAGTATTACGTTTTGTCAGAGTCGTTCGAGACCTCCGTCTCCTGGAAGCACGCTCTGTCGTTGTGCAGAAACGTGAAGTCGCGCGTGGCCAGGGAGTTTTACGGTCGCAACATCGAACAGTACTTCGTCTCTTGTCGCGTCACGCAAACGTACGACGCCGGCTGTTGCGTGTACTTTTACATGGCGTTCAATTATCACGATCTTCCGGACCCGGTCGAGACCTACGAGACGATCGAGCACGCGGCGCGCGAGGAGATCCTGGCGAACGGTGGTTCCTTGTCCCACCACCACGGCGTGGGCAAGCTGCGCTCGTGTTTCTATACGGACGCCGTCGGGGAAGTGGGCGTGTCCTTGTACAGGGCGGCCAAATCACACCTGGATCCCCACAACATATTCGCGGCCGGGAACCTGGATCCAAACTGCATATCGAAACTGTGAACTCTAACACACCCGACGAAACATTGTGATAGTTCAGAATCTTGTCGCTATAGGGGGATTATTTAACACGTGGGAGTATTATGGTTCTTATTAAGAGAAATTCGTTAGACGACTAAGACAATCGGTGTTTGCCCTTTACTAAAACACGTCTCCGACGGTCATAGAAGTGGTGTGTGAAATTAAAAAAAAAAGAAGAGAGACTAGTATAATACACGAAATAAATATGCACCATGGTGTTTAGTTGGTACAAATACCGGGATTTGTATTTGTATCGACATTTTTATAAGTTATTATAAATAAACAAGACTCGCTTACTTATAGTACTTAATCAACATTATCTGCAGCTTATTTATCCGAATTATTTGTTCTCGATAAGTAATTCGTAGTTTTGTTTTTTTTTTTTCCTAATAAAAGAATATTCGTTACTTTCAGTCCGTTAAAGTTAGGGAAACGATCGTTTCCTCTCGTTATCTAATCTGATTTTTATACGTTCTCTCGATGAAAAAAAAAACCAGTTAAATATACATCAGTTTTCGCTAAATTAGTATGCGCGGTGCACGTGATTGAACGCTCACTGGTTATCAGCCTTCAGTTTGGATAAAAATGAATCGAAATCGTATTCGTCGTCGTACTGTTGTTGCTCCCATAATTCAGGGAGGATTTCTAAGACGGAACGACTGACGCCCGGTAGGCTAGCATTTTTTGTACCGGCTTCTTGGCCATCCGGTTTCTTTCCCCTGACGTTGTCCAATGAAAACAAGTCCAACAACTGCAAAAAAACATCGGTAATACGGTTTAATAATAACACTGTTCCACAAATTAAATTTTGCTTTCTGTTTTTCAATATTCACTAGGTAATTCTTATAGAGCTTTGTACCCTAAACAAATTGCTGTGTCACCCTCAGTTTTCGAAAAACACGAGTTTTTGTGAAAACGAGGTATTACGCGAAAATTAAAAACATCAGACAGTTTCACTTAACCTTAAAAGATAGAGGAGAGATTCCTGAATATGCTAACATCGATAGTTGTAATATTTTGTGCTTTTCAACGGTTGTAAATGGTCGCCAAAGTTTGAAAAAGTGTCGAAGCACTTTATACGCAACGCTTTTGTATATTTACGGGTTAGCATAATTCAGGAATCTCTCCTCTATCTTTCAAGATTAAGTGGAACTGTCTGATGTTTTTAATTTTCACTTTTGCCCAAAACTGCCCATTTTCACAAAAACTCGTTTTTTTCGAAAACTGAGAATGATACAGCAATTCCATTTTCACTATTCGTGTTTAGGAAACAGAGCTCTACAAGAATCCCCCAGTGGGTACGAAAAAACAAAATTCGTGTCGAACAGTGTAATTCTCTTATCTTACCTGATCGGTAGCCATTGTTTCCAGAGAAGCGTTCTCTGTCGAGATCACGGTGTTCGCCGTGAGAAGCTTGAACTTTTGCAGCCCCATTATTTTCTCCTCCACCGTCGATCTCGTGATAAGCCTGTACACGTTCACCACCTTCTTCTGTCCGATACGATGCGCCCTGTCCATCGCTTGTAGGTCTTTCATAGGGTTCCAATCGTGTTCCACGAATATCACGGTGTCAGCGCCGGTCAGATTCAGTCCGAGTCCGCCGACTTGCGTCGTCAATAAGAGCACGTCTATCGACGGGTCTGCGTTGAAACGCGCGACCACGGAATGCCTTTGCGTGGCTGGTATACTACCGTCGAGACGCAGATACGTGACTGTCGGTAGATGGGTGCGTAACAGATCCTTTTCTACAATATCCAGCATTGCTTTTAATTGACAAAAGATTAACGCTCGATGTTGGCTCACTAATTGCTGCTGCTGCGGCGGTTGGTTATCCGGCGCGCCACCGGCAGTTATGAAATTACGGTTCTGTTGTTGCTGCGGTTGCCCGATACCGCAGTCCAGCAACAACTGCTTCAACGCGGGCAGCTTGGCTCCGTGCTCTATATCGGCCAAAGTAGTCTTTTGCTGTTTCAACGAGTCGCACACCTAAAAATTTTCACATTGTAGAACCGATACGACTAACCATTTCGACATAACCTATACGAACCGTTTGATAGAACGGATGTCGCGGATTGAGTACCAATTTCGGATGATTGCAAACGTTACGCAGATATCGCAATGCTTCGAACACGTGGCCCCCTTGAGGATCGTTCACAGCCGCTGTGCACGATGCACTGGACAACATACTGGCTGAATGTCGGGTACGGAAATCTTCATACAATGTACGTTGCAGCGTGGACAGATCGCAATAATAGTCTTGTGTGATTTTCGGTGGCAAGTCTTGAAGGACATCCTCCTTATTGCGTCTAAGTAAAAATGGCAGAACCTGGTCGAGATAAATTACAAATATTTTTTAGAAGAAATTTTGAACAGTTGAGGAACCAAAGATCTGGTCAATGTGTTAGAGCATCGACTAATGTTAGAAGTAAAGATACCTGTCTATGTAGCGCTTCCATAGCTAGAGCACCTGCTTCTTGTTCCTTGGGCCCAGCTTTCGGTTCCCTGCAGGCTAGAATAGGGCGCGAGTACTTCGCTGCAAATTGTTTCTCGGTGCCCAGAAAACCTGGCATTAGAAAGTCGAACAACGACCATAGCTCGAGCACGTCATTCTGCACCGGTGTGCCCGACAGTATGAGCCTGTGATTCGCGTGCAATCGTTTCGTCGCCTTGGCGCTTTTCGTCTTTCCGTTCTTTATAACGTGGCCTTCGTCTAGCACGCAGTAGTTCCACTGACGTGTTTCGAAGTAGTCGATATCCTTGCGCACTATGTCGTAGCTAGCAACTACCAGTCTATGGTAGGTAACTTTTGGTCGTAGTTTCTCACGTTCGGGTGGCGTGCCAGCGTATTGCAAAACGGAAAGGTGTTTAGCCTCGAAGAATTTCTCCGCCTCGTAGACCCAATGGCCGGTCAGGGTCGGTGGACACACCACCAGACTCGGTGGCGCGTGAGCATTACGATGATGGTCCAAAGCTAGTATGCAAAGCGTTTGTAGCGTTTTACCCAGACCCATATCGTCGCATAGAACTCCGTGCAGTCGATAACGATTCAAAAAGTTCAGCCAGTTCAATCCTTGGCGTTGATAAGAACGCAACTCCGCGGCCACGGGAATTGGCATTTCGGTGTCTGGGATACTCCGTGGATTCAAAAGTTGTTCCAAGAATCGTCGCTCTTGAGCTTTCTTCTCGCTGAAACGAAAACGGTTAAAATTGACTATAGTGAAATTCTCATGAAGTAGCCTTATGGTATAAAAAAAAGTTAACTTTTAGTTGGATAATAAAAATTGACTATAGTGATATTTTAAAATGAAATGACTCGATCGAGGACGTTAGCCCTTTGCACTCCGAATTATATTTCAATTTTGTTACCAGCAGCTCCCAAACGCCTTTAAGTGTTTTATTTGAAATTTATCTGTTGAAATATTTGTTTTATTTGTTGTTGTATTTTGTAATTTTCAAGTGTACGGTATCTCTTTGGTTTGGACTTGAAAAAATGTCGAAAAGGAGCTCCTTGTCGAATCACACTCTCCATAGGAGTGCAAAGGGTTAAAAATGTTTGAAACTCACACTAAATCCGGTGGATCGGTAATGGCGCCAGGGTCGAGTGGTAGAAGTTGCACTAGTGTCGCGAACGTTGCGCTACAGGCTAATCTCACGCATTGATTTTGGTCACTCATGCGGCCTAATAAAGGAACCATAAAGAGCACAGCATATGGAACTATGTTTACGCCTAAACTCTCGACAAGGCACGTCAACGCCTCGGCGGCGCCTTGCCTAATCGAGTCCACCTCGCTCGGCGCTGTCACCGTCATCGAGTACAATTTTTCTCCACCGGTAGCCTCTAGAAGCGGTATTACGCTGCGTGTGATGTGTACTATTACCTGCAATAAATATTAATAACCGAAAAATAGAATTATAGACGAATCAATGACCGAAAGTTTGCTCGAAATATTACTTTTTCTATGTCTAATGTAGCTAACACGGAGATGCATCGCGACGCCATGTGTCTGACAGCCTTGTACGGATGAGCCAATAATTTACACAAACAGGAAAGGCATTCCAAAACGGGGGGCAGTAAAGCTTTGTCGAGGCTCGGGGCCAGAACTTCCAGAACTTGCAAGCCAAAGATCAATTGATTCACTTCCTCTTGAGTATTTTCACGACCGGTGATATTTTCATCCTCTCGCAACAGGTTTGGTAGTATCAGTTCCCAAAGATGTGGCAAACGAGTAGGCAACTGATCACCAAAATGAGTAGCTGTAAAAAAAATACTAATAATGCCTGTACAATGCAATTTGCTGTATTGTGATCGTTGTTTGAACAAACCTATGGCTGTGAGGGCCAAAGTAGCTCCACGGCGACGGGTTCTGGCGGCTTTAGCTTCCGGTTCCTCGCACGCGAGTAATTCCTCCAAAGGAATTTCAGTGGTGGGTGGTCTGCCTGGGCCCCTTCCTCCCCCCAGACCACTGTTCGCGCCCCGATTATAAGCCACTCTCTCAGCGTGTTTCTGTCTATTGCTTAAAGTGAGAATCCCGTCGAAAAGATCCGTATCCGTTTCAGCGTTTACGCGGGGCGTGAATTCAATGTCCGAGCACAGGAATGTACATAAGTTGGTCGATATCTGTGGTAGAAGATCTCGATGAAATTACATTGTTTGCTAGCAAGGACCAGGGATTGTAACCGTAACCCAAACATGATACATTAATACACGTGATCAGAGTATTCTTACATCACGACACTCGATAGGTTAACTCTGGGAACGGATTACAGAAGTGCGTTGTAACCTGCAATTAATTGGGCGTTTGTTGTTTTATCTCTCGCAATAAGTAATTCGACAATTTTCTTTCTCTCCTCCACTCTATCTTTGTGTCTTAGATATGAACTCTTATCTACATAAAAGTTTCAAACAACAAGCGAAAGATAAATAACATTTTGTTGAGTCTTTGAATGAAAACTAGAATCCAAATTACACGCTGATACAGAAAACATGTAAAGTAGAAATTAGTTCAATTTAATTATTCATTCGCAAACAATTCTTCAATTTCTGTTTTCAAAACATGCACTCAATACAGAGGTTATGTTGTAAAGATATTCAATAAATCAGTGTTTTCTTGAGTCAGGTGATGGTTACAATCCCTGAGAAGAATTAGGAACAGGAATTATGTTGTCCTCCGTGTGTACCTTTGCATTGGGGGAGGGTATTCTATCTAGACAAAGTTCAACTAGGTACGACAAATGTTTAGCAGCTAATTTCTGTAGCTCCTCGTTTTCCTCGCGTTTTATAGCCTCCATTAGCGGTTTCACTAACGGATTGAGAGGTTTCGGGGACGGTGGAAGGCAATGCAACATGGTGGCGGCTCCAGCGAGGGCCGCCATTGACATAACGTTGTAGGAGAGCTGTTGCGCTGCCGTGTCAGCAGCGCCGATCTCCAACGCTTTTCGCCTTTCTTCCAGGCTCTCGATCAACTTTGGCTTTAGCTTAATCGTGTTCAGGCTGCCGCCAATGTTTCCGCCCGGTCCCCCGGAGCCTGTCGCATTGCCCATGGCACAAAGCTCTGAAATCGGTTTCCCGGCAAGGCTCGCTATTTGATCGAGCGTCATTACTCCCGATGCATCTGTTTCGATAGGAACAGGTAATTTATAGTGTTTGAGTGTGGCAATGTAATCACGGCTGTCGTGTATTAGCCGTGTGAAAGACGCTGCGATCTCGTCATAGAACACACATTCGTTTAAACACCCCAAGAGTTTGTCCCTTTTAAGCAAACACATGATTATTGTATTATACTAAATCGAAGCGGGGGGTTATTCCATGCCAAATCGGACAATTTTTTGAGCAACATTTAAAAAAAAAAAAAATACTAGGTTCGTTTTATGATAAAACGAAGTGACTCGTAAAAGTGACCGATTTCAGGCGGAATGACCCTAAGATATAAGGATTTCTTTCTATACCTGAGAATGTCCGGTATCGTGGGGCATTTCATGTCGTTCACGGTCGCCCAATGGGACATCGTCAAACCTGCGACGGTGCGTTGCAACGCCGAGCGTGAGTTAAGATGCGCCAGTAATACTTTAGCGTAACAGAGTGCAGGACTAGGTATGTCTGGTGTGTATACAACACCCGGTGCTGGTTGTACCACGTAATGCGAGAGCAATCCTAGCATTCGCGCGGCTCTGCAACGAGCTTGCACCACGTTCGACTTCCTTATATTCTGAGCAACGGTCTCGATCCCGCCGATGTACACTTTCAACTCGGATATCGACTTTGCGTTTCCGCTTAGAGCATTGTTTCCGCCGTTGTTACTAGTCTCCGACTGTCCGTCGCAAGTACCGATAAACTGACTGCTCTTCGTCCCTTTGTTCGGCGAGCTTATGGTCATCAACAGGTTTGGATTGAATGGCACGTGTTCCGGTTGCATAGCAAGGCATAGCCACGTGCTGACGAGGGGACACGCCGCGTGCAATAGCAGCTCGAGATCGCTCTGTACGACTAGATTCTCCCAAACACGTTCGGCTATATCTTGTATGGCAGTTACGTGTTCGATAAGTACACGTTGAAAAACATGACGAAGAGCCTCCTGTAATACAAATCCACCCCCCTCGCCCCATCGTTCCTTTCTATCCTCGGTATGAGCACCGTCGTCCCCGGTTAGCGTCTGTAACGTTTGCAACGTGGCTTTGCGCACGCTCGAACTAGAATGACTAAGAAATGGCCATAACCGTGGCAAAACCTACAATCACATTGTTCAATGTTTAACAGACATAGTAAATTCCACACAGTGATTTAATGGTTTTCGTTGTACAAAGCGATTCTAGTATACATCAGATCAGTATTTACACGCTTTAAAAATTTCAAATTACGATTGCACGTTGAACGGTAATTACTAAAATCACCTTGTATATCGATCGTTACCTGTGACAATGGCTGAGGTGTAAGACACGCACGTGCTGTAGGTAGCGACAGTATAGCAGCTAACAGTCCCATGAAACTATTGCACGCCGCTGCCAGATCGTCCTGTTCGCGTAGAAGTTCCCAAAGACGGATTACAACAGCCTCTAATTCCGATGGTTCTAATAATCGCGGTAGGGCAGATGCAACTGGTATTAGCGCGCTAGCTGCAGCAGCGCCAACATCGTCGACGGGATCGGAAAGACCTTTCATGGTGGCTGGAAAGACTCTCGGTAATATGTCATCCAGTAAATCATCGCGTACAGCGAGTAAATATTTTAACGCAAGCAACGCGCCGTGCCTTGCCTCCCACTCGTCGTGTTCTAAAAGTTTCAGCATGACCGAAAGTATTCCCACGATACCCTTATTTTTCTTATCGTTATCTTTTTGATTTGGCACTAGCAGCAAGAGGGAACCCAGCGCTTGCGCACACGTCTCTCGCACGGGCGCGACGACTTGGTCGGAAACGAAGTCACCGAATCGATCTAACCCCAAAACACACAGTAATCGTAACGCAGCGTCGATTATCCATTGATAGTGACTCTCTTCCATCTCGTCTGCACTCAGATCCCTCGGTTTACCCGCGCCTGTATTAAACGTTAATTAAAAATCGTTTCCCTATTAATTGTCGGTCTTGTTAATTAACGATCGAGGTTTTGTATACCTTTTCCGTGGAGTTTGATCAGTTCCCGTAAAGCAGTCGCGGCTCCGTGCCTCACTTCCCATTTCTGACTAAATAAATCCTGACAGAGATTCTCAGCGAACGACTCGAGAGGCCAGTCTATCACGGAATCTGGCCAGCAACCGGTGCTATCTGGTACCGCGTTTGTCGACTCAGTCTGTGCATTGCAATTAAGGTTCATCTCCGATGAGATCACTTCTTCCAACTTTATCTTTTTACTCAACGACTCGCCGGTGCTATTAACGGGAGATTGAACGTTCGAATTGTTGTGATATTCTTCGTTGCTACGATGATCGTCCGGGTCCCGCGAACGTTGTTTTGAAACCGATTGCCGTGCCTACATTCGCGAAACATCGATCGTTTTAATAAAAAATTTCCAACGATAACGTTCGAATAAGAAAAAAACATATTACCTTGCGTCTAGCTCTGTTCATTTCGCGTCTACTGAGCCCACCGGGTTGCTTCAATGTTTCGCCCACGGACATTTTGGTTTGCGTATTCGTGGTGGACGATAATACAACCGGCGTGAGATCTTCGGCGCTGAATAACTCTGACGTGTCGACGCCCATTAATCGCGGATGAAGGCCCAATTTAGCAGCAATAATTTTTTCCTCCTGATTCGGAAGTGGCATTTGCTCCCCGTCCGCGGCGATCAAATCGTACTCGCTGCCTTCCGATCCGGTGAGATGCGAGCTACGCGCCAACACTTTTTCCATGTCGAAGTCGTCCAAATTTAATCTATTATTTGGTACATGTTTTCTTGTTTCCCCGTCCTCCTCTATTAATCATCGAAGCGTATAAATTGGCGACCAAACATGAACCGTGTATAAGAGGTTAAGTAATTACCTGTACAAGTCTCCTTTTTGATAGGTTGCGGATCCCAAGCGGGAACTTGAGCGAGTATAGCCTGCACCGCTTGCGCGGCTGAAACTCTTGTGTCCCATTGCGGGGACTTCAAGAGAGTCGATACTCTTGCTAATAAATGATGTAAATCGTGCGGATGTAACCTCTGTGCCTCTCCCAATTGTTGCGCGGCGGCTCTTTTAGTCACTGCGTTTGTTCCTGTTTCCAGCAATATGAACAATCTATCCAATCTATGAAACCCATAAACCCATAAATACGTTGCTTAAGAATGAATCCGCATGTCCTATTTAGCTATCATTTTTCAAATTCATCTCGCTATTACATCGAGTCGAAGGTGAAGTTACAAACGTTAGATTAAATGCCAAAAATATGGTGCACACATAATTGATGGAACTAATAATCACAGATAATAGTTTCTAGTACCAGATCGAGAAGTTTTTAATTTAATTTTTATATTATTGCAACTATTATATCAACAAGTATGTTTATATTATTTAAATTAGACTATTATTAACAATGTACCTTGATGTCATGTTTAGACGCGATGTTGATCAATGAACAGCTGTGAAAACCTAAAACCAAAATAAAAGTGTGCATATATATGCTTTCATATATACTATAAAATTACTGAACTTTGACAAACGATTTATGTATATTTATCCATATATTTGGAGGGAATTGATGCAAGAGGTGTGGGTAAGAAATTTAACGAAGTTACTGGTTAAATATATTTTGATTCTGGTTACATATTACAGGGGTACAGTAGGAAGTGCATTTGATGCTCCAGCTGTGCAAAATAAAATGGAGTACAGGAAACGGTAGAATAATTTCCATGTTATTTATCCATTTTTAGACGAAAGGAAGCAATGATCCGAGGTAGCGAAAGGCGATTGTCAAGTCCCGGAACGAAAGTTAGCTGGAGTGAAGTTGATAAGGCGGAGATGATGGATGACATCTACGAAGACGCGTTTTTCGATCGGGTCCAGGGATTCGGTGGACAGAGGTAAGAAGATAATCGGGCATAGTGCAGGTAGCTTTAATTAAAAGAAACTGGATGTAACGTGATATTCGACGTGATGTTGCAAACAAAGGTAATATGGATATATAAATAAATAGCGATACGACGGGCACCTAAACATACCTGATTTTAAAATACAATGTATCGAACCGTTACGCTTCAGCTAACCCGCATAGCCGTTTCCCACTGTATTGATTCTTGGAAAATCACATTACGCTGTGTATTTCGAAAAAGTCGACAGATAGACAGACTATTTGTCAAATTTTTCGGAGAGAAACGCATGTTACAACCATCAAATTTATACTGACAGCCATATTGCAGGGGAACCTGACTTTTGTCCCCCGATTTTCCTCCCATTGGCCGACTCCACGCATCTCGCGGATCGATCAGCCAATCGTCATTTTCTTCGTGCAATGATCGCATCAAATTGCGCATATTTCGTGTACAAAATGGACTTATGCCGCGTACACATGCCCAACGAATGCATTGCTTGTTCCAGAATTAATTTGCACCTTATAATTTAAGAACATCGAACCTATTCGTATCTACTTATTACTATCACTGTCTTCCCCAATCCATCATTTTCCGTAAGTAATAATTTAGTAGTAAAACTTGTCGATACATTTTTGTGCGTATTATCGAAAATTATTCACTAGTTACATACTTTTGTTTTATTTTTCTTCAAAAAATTGGATTCGCATATTTGATGTATCAAAAACATGTTTTTTAAACGATGAACGAGGGATGAGAAACTATAATTAAATAGCTATATCTTTTTAATTGTCTTTATTTCATTTTACAAGTGTTTCAAATTGCTCACATTTCTTGGTTAACTAATGCAATGTAACAGAATCCTATTTTGACTGAATACATCTTTAACAGTAGAGCAATGGTTTAATGGTATTTGTAGTTCCTGTGGTGTCCTGAAAAGCAAAATCAGCAATATTACATTATGACGTTTACCTAAAATAATAGTTTTAAAATGAAATGTTAACTTACTGATACGCAAGTAATTCAAATAATAAGACAGAATCGAGCATCCAACAGCAACTTGGAAAAAGGGAGCTACACCCATCTTTACAGGTTGCATATACTTGTGCTGCCACCGCCAAAAAGCTGAAATTTAACAACAATTCCATTATAAATTATATCCGATGGAAATAATAAATCATTATAACAGAATTGTATGCTAAAGGAATTCGGAAGTTTTCTTATAGAGACACAGAGGTCCTTTTTTTTGTAATAGCTGTAACGAGAAAAAAAAACTTCGGAAGCGATCGTGATCGTTATGCAATTTCAAAGTCAAACTATGGCCACTTCGATAGAGGAAATATGTACCTCGAGATAGCAATCCCATCAATTCACGGGGTCCCTTGTTGCGTCGCATAACCCATGAGCTCAATTCGCCGAGCTTCACTTCCCCGAAGGGAGTGTCAGCTGTAAATACAGTGATTTTCATGATTAATTAATTCCCAATAAAAGAGACTAGCGCGAAGGTTGTATGAAACTTACGTTTTCCGTAATATCGAGCAGGATCGTATGGGCCATGTTTCGCTGGTTCATACTCCGCCGGGTAGTTACCAAATTCCATTTTTTACGTAATTAGGGCGAGGAAGATGTGAGAATGTAATGAACACACGAAGTCGGATGATACCGGGCACGTATCAATGAAAGAACGACATCCGCAGATTACTTTGGCCACAGCGTATGCAAACTATCAAAAATAAAATCCCTAGGTACAAAGTACTAGATTGCAGTTTAAAAAAGTTCGACTAAGACAATATCTGTAATATATAACGCGATATCCAGAACTTATTAACAAAAGGGACTCTAATATACTTTGTTTGGTAAGAAGAAAACCACGTATCTTACGATCCAAATAAATATTATTCTCATGGAAACGTGCCTATAGGGATGTATCTAACAATGAGCGCGAAATTCAAAACGAACGTTACAAGATTGGATCGTTTAGCTTCGCTGAAGAGTATAAATAATTAACTACCATATTTGAAACGTGTAGGTTTCAGGTTCACAGACATTCTTTGATTTAAAAAACTTTATTCATTCTACAAAACAATATATATATATATATATATATATACAATATAAAATTGTTACATTCTCAGGCTTTTAAAATTTCGTTCGTGTAAGGTGGAAGTGAAGAACTATTCAATTTCGAAAATAAAATTTATTAAAGAATGCAGAAGATGTAAGTTATTGTTTTTCGAAACGTTTTATTAAATATATAAAATCCTTCGAATTGGTGAAATTTAAATCGCAATATTAAACTTATTTCTCTGATCGATTTGAACTAACGTACGATACGACGCTACAAATGAAAAGGAAGAATTTCGGTATAAATTTATTAACGATACAATACTAAATTAACAGGTTTCGTCTAAATGTATTAAGTACGGTACGAGCGGGTACTAAAAATAATAATTCTTGTACTTCGGCTTCTACGTAAGCCTATCGAGTAAATTTAAAGTACGTACACCGTAGCAATAATGCAATTAAGTGAATGTAGTTCATATTTGTGCTCGTTGTTAATAACGTTGTTTATCTTTATACAATCTCTATCCTTATTTACTATCACTAGCCTCTAGTGGTCGCTCATCTCCATATATTCTCACAGTACAAAGGTTTGTTCTCCTATTTTCAGGATCGTGGAAACCACCGTTTTTGCACACGAACGACGAAGACGTCTACACGGAAGCGGCGACTTCCTGTTCCATTTCGTGCAGCATATTGTACAAACGTGTCTTCAAGCTGTCTGGCACCGCAGCGCGTGGTAAATGCTCGACGTCACCGGCCGGGTTCGCACACTGTCGCAACATGACCGCCAGAGTGCTGGTGGTGTGCTCCGACATGAGCAGTCCGGGAATTATTATGGTCCCCGACAGAGTCCAGCCGAGAAATATCTTCTCGCACACGATCTGAAATGCCGGTAACAATTACAACTTAATCACACCGTAGGAAACATTGGAATTATACAACGATCAACGTATCGGGCACGCGATGGTGGCGACACTGTTAATTACTTGTAAATTATTGTTCATGACAGGGGACTCGCAGCGCTTGTCCTTCGAGCAGACGGATCTGCAGTCGAAGAAGTCGCAGTCCTCGTGTCTCTCGCAGCTCTTTCTGTCCGACGTCATACGGCTGACGATTGTTTTCGGGAACACGGCGTCCAGGTCGAGGAACTTCAGTTTCTGACCGCCTAGGGGGAGCCCGAAATGGTTGATCTTCACGTCGCATAGGTAGATCGGCTCCGAGAAGTTCGCGTCGAGTTCCTCGAGCAGGTCCAGTATCATCACGGCCAGCTTCAGCCGTTTCGCCCATTCCGGCTTCGAGTCGGAGAGCGCCAGGACCGTGGTGGGCGTCTCGATCGGTCTGACGTACTCGACCGCGTAGAACGTCCCGCACGTGCCGATCAGCTGTGGAAAAATGTCCCTGTCCTCGTAGAGGATGCTCATCAGGTACTCGTTCTCCTGCAACAACGGCCAGAGATTCTCCATCTCGAGCTGCCGTCTGCTCAGCTCGGTCTCGACCCGGTGCGTGCGTAGCCGCGCCAGCCTCTCTAATTGATGCTGCGACAGCGTCACGTTCAGCTTGCTAATGACCAGATCCCTGATCATGGCGCTGAAGTCCTTCTCCGACGGGTAGTGCTTGTTGCCCGCTATGTCTGTCCAGAACAACGTCTCGAACTGCTCCGCCGGTGTCTTCGTCCTGAAATTTCGAAAATCATTATTTGCATTTTGTATCGATTAACACGTTGGCTGCCACATCGAAACCGTGCAATTTTCTACGAGTCCAAAACCTGGATTTTAGACAATTGTAAACTGCATAATTTAAAATTTGTTAAAATTTTAACTTCGTCCTATACAAATTTATTTAACATTTCAATTTCAATTTAATTCCATAGTGGGAAAGTCTTGTCATCCATATATGGTTTTAACGTAACCCAACGCTTCCCGTATTCGCCACCAGAGGGATCACGCCTCTCGCAAGTGTTCCACCCACCTTTCGTTTGTATATATACGCTCCCCGATCGACTATCCAATATCTTCCCTGTCCATTCCTTTCCCATCTTACTTTCACGGGGAATATTTGTGCAATCAATTTCCCCGTAAATCTAGCGTTGAAGAAGAGTTTTATAAAAGTGTTTTTTACGGAAACAGATGGTTTCCAGGGGAAAAAAGTGCTTCGTCATAACGCCGTCGCTGCTGCTGGCGCGGACAGTTCGACCAAACCATTGCTTTGGACGCAATTTATGCGTGGTTAAAAATAACTCCTATGTGTAGGAGACAACTGCTTAATGAGCCTGTGGGAAACAGGTTTCCAAGCGAAATAGCACTCTAATGGTGTCATTAGGGCGTTTCAGGAAATATTGCATACTTCGGAACTTTAAATTTGTTAACTGAAAACTCTACAACAAAACGGTAATTTCCAAGCGTTGGATGATCTATGATGTTGTGTCATCGTTACCCCGAAAGCAATTTGAATGCGAAAGACTATGCTCACCCCAGCGTGTGTTTGATGAGATTATAATTGAACAATATTAATATTATAATTGAATCACTTATATATCGCTCAAAAGTGAGAAAAGTGTGACATTCCTCCAAAGTTTTAAGCAACTATATATATACTGGGTAATTTCATTGTTTCCCCAAATTCCCAAAAAAATCAGTTGCATTTTATTTGGAAAATATATAAATCCAAGTTTTCATCGTTTGAAACGCTCAAAATAGCTGTGCTTCTTTCCTGCTTTGACGCTTTTGGTTTCTTTTTCAGATTTGGGCGTGACTTATTGCGTTATTAAAAAACGATACGCCTAATTACGTTGAGCGGCGCGTGGTATACTGGAAGAAACGAACCTCGAAGCCTTGAAGACGAGCCGTGTTCCTTCCCAGTGTGCAGAGAAGACCGCCTCCTTGCCAGCGTGAAGCGTTTCGCACGCGAGCGAGTGAATCCCCTTTTCCGAGCACAGCGGCTCGCACAGAATTCCGATCGCGGACCCTTTTCTGTGCGTGCTGCACTGAAATGAAAATTACGATCAGTTACTGTGTGAATTAACCATCGGATTACAGAATTGCTTCCAGGTAAGGCGATCGAACATTTCCAGCCTTCAGCAGTGGCGTAACACTCGAATCTCGAGGGCTCCTGACTTCCACAAGATTCTACAAAAAATAATTACACGGGACTTTATATTTATCAAATATAAATATCGATTTGCAAAAAGGTTTCCGACTTCTACAAGATTTTACAAAAAATAATTATTACTATATTTATCAAATATAAATATAGTAATTTATTTAGGAACTATATTTATCAAATATAAATATAGTAATTTATTTAGGAACTATATTTATCAAATATAAATATAGTAATTTATTTAGGGACTATATTTATCAGATATAAATATAGATTTGTAAAAAGACATATTCGAATGACAAAACTTGGTGTAATAAATAAAACTCAAACCGGGCCAAAAACTCTAACAGTGTTGCACACGGGCCCTAGAATCGTTGGTTACGCCACTGGCTCTCGGTGTTCTCTCTCCCGACACTCGTAGATGCAAATGTTATTTTTAATGTGTAACGTTACGCAAGCTTTGCCTTTCTTCCCGATTTATAGTTTCGCAAATCTTTTTTCGCGAAACGTTGCGTCACGTCAAACACTTCCAAAGTATTTTTACGACGAGTCGCGTAAAACTTGTCGCGCGGTTGTCACGAGTCGCGCAAACTTTCGAAACAACGTCTTTCAGCGTGTTATTTCACGATTTTATTTATACAGGATGAAGCATTTCCATGCAAATGTCAAAATGTCTTGGCTGAGATTGATAGTCGTGCGATTTAAATTTTCTTAATTTCTTTATTCGTACTGCTGCAAAGATAACAATTACGATTAAATTCATTGTTAAAACGAATCGTTAAAGTTTACAAAAATTGTTTTCGCTGTAAATAGATCGATATTGTCTAAAATTTCGAACGGAACAATGTATCGTACAGCATTGTTGCATCGCCAAAGAAGAGAAGCCATTATCCTTGAAATCCTGATCTAAAAAAAAAAACAGCAATGTTGCTGTAGTAACTGATATCGTGTAGCTTTCTCAATGAAACGACACAACTTTCATTCGGGACATTTGCATATTCGAGTCGACGCCGAGGCAGATACAGTAAGTCGCAAAATTATCGGCAACAATTGTTTTCGATAAAGCTAGATAAAAAGACAGTACAAGAACTTAAACAGATTCTCACCCTGATCTAGAATCTTTTTTCGAACATATATGATTGCTGTAACCATGGAAACCACGAGAGAATCTTTACTTTTTAGTACGTCTCGGAGCACGCAAGATGGCCGACCATGGTCATATCAGTTTGAAAATATTCCATCAAAAATGTATAAAATATCAACGTCGTTTTATTGTGTTGCTGTGCGTACGACTATGTCGAATCTTTGTTCGTGGTCGGTAGTTTTGCGACCCACTGTATCTGAATCGATCAAGTCCGCACGGGACGCGCGCGTAAAAGTCGCAATTTTAGGGTTAGTTTGCTCGTGAAACCCGGTTATGGCCGATATTACGTTTGAGCTTCGTATAAGTTTGTTTTCTTACGCTCATCGCGACCGCGGGTAAACGGATTCCCGACGTCTGCGTCCGTTTTTCGTTATGTACGTACTTCGTTCTAAAACTCGTTCCGGAATGAAGTAAGGTTATGGCGCGGGCCATACCGCGCGTATACAGTCGACGTGAAGGGTAACGAAGAGGCATCGAGAGACTTTGGCTACGGGAATGTGCTAGTTTCCTTTGTATGCGCGCATATATTTACGTACGTATGTATATACAGGGCGATTATTTCGTTGACGTCGTGTCGAGAATAATTTTCGATTCGAACAGTTTCGCCGTTGTCCCACGTTTGGACGCCCTGTAGACGAGCCGGGGACGTAAGAGGCAACGATAAATTGTCCATTCATAAACGAACTTTTAAACCATTTGCAATCAGGCTCGACACAAAGGGAGGTTACTACAAGGTTATATTTTTCATCTTGGAACCCGTTTACGAGCGACTCCGTGTTTGATCGTAATACGACCAAATGTATCTGTTTCAGTCTGGCGCAATCAGTTACGGCGCGGTATGCGCCAGTGAATATTAACTTCGCGCGTTCATTAAACACTCAATTACATCGATTTAATTGAAAGCATGATATAAACTTCACTCGGCGATCCATCGAACAATTTTATCGTCACGCTTCTTACACGATCGTTAGTACAGTCTACTCTCTGCGATTTTGCAGTCACGCTTGAAAAATTTGACGTGTAACGGAAATTCAAAGGTTTGTTTTCAAAGACGGAACGAACGTTGTTGAATAAATCGATGTTATTCCTTTCTTTATCTCCCAACAGAGATTTACAAGACGAATGCAACGACCCCCGGGTTCAAGCATTTCGTGTAAACCATTATGAAAGTTCCAATAAGTTTTCCGAGCAAGAACTCCCGTCGCGATCTTGTCGTAGATTAGTACAAGAATATTATGATGACTGTGCTGTGTACGACATGATGGAGCGTTGTTTTTTTAACGTATTTTCTGGTATCGGGGGGCATTCCGTTAGGCTACAGTGTAACAAGCGCGTCGGTGGATGCCAGCGACTAATGAAGATACGAAAGTTTGTGCCGCGGTACGCGAGAATAAAACACGAGACGCAACAACATTCATATTAGAAATTAAATTAGAACTTTGGTGCATTATTTTTCGACTAAAATATTTGTCTTCGCGATTGTTCCTCTCGAAACGTTCGTCGGCGGTTCTTAACCTAAGAATGTCACGCCGACTCGAGCGAGCGAAAAACAAACATGGCGGCCATGACAGTTGGAAGTTCCCGTTGGAAAACCGTATAGTTCCGAACAAACGGTACAATTGGCTAGATGGAAACAAATAGTTGTTCGAATATACTAATTGAGGGGGGAAAGAGTTTCGTGGGTGGACGCTCGAGGCGCGTTGCGTTCGAGCTTTTACGTTCGATCCGTGGATGGTTGAGGTACCGCCGGAATGAGAGCAATAAATGTGAATTATCTTCTCGATGCGTGGGTGGGTGGTTGCGTTACGTAGAGCGCGCGAGTGTATTCGCACACGTAGTTCGTTCCGCGTGCGTGCACACGCGTACACCACGGGCCGTGCTCACGATATTTTTAGTTACGTCGTGACCGCCATGATGAGAGGATTTCTCGAGCAGAGGCGGCCGCCATAAGATGCGTGTCACGCGTCTTTATTCACCGTAACGGCCGAGTAACTTATCGGATGTACTTTTCGAAAACCACCGACTCATCGGGGCCAACGTCTATTATGCAAAAACCACGATCGAATACTCGGGTTCTTCTTCTACGATCACGGCCGTGATCGACGCCCAGATATTTAAGTAATTTAAACGAATCTTTTTTTAAAATAGCAAAAATATTTCATCTTCGAATTACGTTGGAAGATTGAACAATTTTAGAGTGGACAGTACCGCGTTCGTTCGACAGCTTAGAAATCATAATCGTGTTATGCGGCTTCGTTGCAGGGGTCGGCAACCTCTCGGGGTCAAGAGCTAAAAAAATTGTAATTCTTCTAAATTGTTTACTGTAATACACTCGAATAGACTAGAGGAAACATTTGTCAAAAGTTATTTTTTCAATTTGTTAATAATTAGATCATTATTTAGAAAGCATTGTTTATTTATATTCGTGATATTAAATATTTATATTATGTTTGAGCAGCATTCGCGAACAGGGACTAATCGACGAGCAACAATATCGTCGAAACAGCATTCAACAGCATTTTTCTATGGCCTCGCGTGCGTTGGATGATGCATTACGTAAACGGTTTCGTTTTTAATATTCCGGCGGGATAGTTGAGAATGGTTGAATGTAATGAGTAGCGACACTAAGCTGGCATTCGACGTCTCGGTACCGCGATGCAGCCAGTCACGATAAATTGAATTTATAACCGCAATCAATGAACTTTTTACACCAGGTGGGGTCGGGGCGAGGAATGTTAATCCACTTACGGTCACCGCGAGATTGAAAATCTCTTAAGCTGTGTTAGGGTGCAAAATTTCCAAACGATCGTAACGAGTGTGGAGAATATATTAAATTGTACTTCTCGAAAAATATTATCCTGTCCCATTTTAAGATATCGTTGCATTTTCCATCTGTTAATATTTTTCTCTATTTTGATTACTTAATGTTCCTTTGTTTACACGCGCCCTCTACATTCAGCATTGCAATTTAAGAAAATACCTTCCTTACCCATTCATGATGTAAATTCTGTATATCTATATCTTGTTTTAAATATTTCTCGTTAACAAATGTATTTCGACTGTTAAAATTATAAAATCTAACCGTTGAAATACTTTTGTCCGTTATAAAACGGTTAGGCATGCTCTATAGTCCAAGTCCAATCACCCCTTTTTTTTCTGCTCGCGATTGTAAAAGTAAGCAGACGGACGTCGAACGTTCCCTCTACGAATCCTGAACAACGTGCAAATTCCCGGAATATTGGGTGTCCTTTACGGTCGCGACCAGTGCAGAGGCCCTCGATAAGTTTGTAAACAGAGCCGGGCACGGTGCACACAGTCTCGTCTCGGTTTTTGTACAGTTTATATATATATATATATATATGTATACATATATATAGGATATATAAGTGGTGCGAAATCGGCACGTATCTCGCGGCTCAGTCTGTTTCGTGAACGTCGCGAGGGCGCGTGCGTGACCGTTTCGTTCCCTGTTCCTTTCTCTACTACCCTCGTTTCGCGTCTCGTGGCATCCCCGTGCGATTCCTCGACGTCGTATATCGCGGGCCGCGTCGACGTAAACGCGATAGGGTTCTGTTCCGTGTGACGGTGGTTCGAAGGGACTCACCACGTTGGATACGTGACGCCATGCCTCGAGGTTCGTGCACATAATACCCCAGTGGAGGAGCAAGTACACGACGAGCAGGAGAGTCGTGGCCAGGAAGACCGTGATCACCTTGTAGTGGTACATGAAACCGGGCAACCGTCGGACGTTCATGATCCTGCGTGCCTCTGCTTCCCTCTCAGGTAGGAAACGACGGGAACACGCGCGCGTAACGCACGTTTGATTATTTTTTTTCTATTCGTACCGGAGCGTCGCGTCGAACCCCGGGGTTCGTCGTACCCTTTCGATGCTTCTTTATTTTTTTTTTTTATTCGGCTCGCGGGTCGTTCGGACGTCGTCGTCGTCCGCGGCGGCGCATCGTGTCCGCCTCGTCTCGTCAACCTATCCTTCGCGCGATCGACTCGTCCGGTTCGTTTCTCGCCGAATATCGTCGCGGATGCACTTTCGTCGACCGACCGGTGCCGTACGGTTGTGCCAATGCGGCATAATCTGCGGCACATGCCAGCGTCGCGACGCCGCGCCTCTCGCGGCGTATCTCTCCGGCGACGCTCGTTGCGCAGGCCCTCGGCGTGCGGGATGGAAACCGTCCACGACGGTCGAATTCGAGCGCCGCGCGACCGCTCTCAGTGCGCCGCGAAGTATTTTACAACGATGGCGGTCCGACCGAGCCTTCGAGACTATTCTAGGTTTGATCGCGGAACCGATTATTTTTGGACGGACCGTTGGCGTCCCACCGAACGTCTCCACGCGATTCGTGACCACCGGCGGAAAATATTTATTCGTAAGGTGTCTCGTGTTTCTTTCGATTATCGAAGTAATTTACGTTTAAAGATTATTCGGCGTAGGTTTTACGTCCACGCGTGGCGTACGTCGTTGCTGTAGCAGTTTTCGTTAACGTATCATTCTCGTGCACACGCACGCTGTAGCTTCTGTGAATGATCAGCATTAACTTCAAACGAATCGAGCTACAGTCGGAACAAAATCACGTTGCCTTCTGAAAATCGTACATTTACTATTCTAGTGGTCCTGTCTCTTTTACCACGACGCAAATTCGTAGACGCGTTTTCCTCTTTCCACGATAAGAGAATCGAGGCGTAAAATCAATCTAGCGGTGATTCATGGCCGGCGAAGCGGTTTGGAACGACCGGTTAATTTTGTACGGACTCTAGCTTTTAAGCTTTTGAGAGGTCCAGCTGGTGCTGCCTCCATTGCTGTACCGTGGGATCGATGTAACAGGATCAGAATCTCTCCCAGAGTCTAGCAAAATGTAATCGTAATACTTTTCGACTTTAACCGTCGGATTTTGGGGTCATGTTCTTGGTCAATTCGACGTATTTTTTTTCTCCCGGACTAATAAATTGACTGCCCACGCGTCGATTTAAAAGGGTCTAGCGCCAAAAATATTGGTACGAGCATGGGAACGTTTAATAGAAACGGACAGCCCCGAGACTTTGTTCGTCGACGTCGAAAAGAATTTATTAACACGACGAATACAAATGGATAAACGTTATTCGCATCCATATTTTATACTTGGTCCACTAGCTTTGAATAAATTCAATAAAGTTAGTTTTATTAGTTTCGAACGAGTAATTTAATTTTAACTTCGTTAAGTTACAGTAGAAATGCTGTATTTCGTGTTTGATATTGTGTTAACCATAACCTACTGAACGTTTGAATTAATTTATCTTGATAATAGAATAATTTAGAACAGTGGTTCGATATTAAATATTTATTTTCACTGCATTATTTGCAAACATTCCTGAACGTTTGAATTAATTTATTTCGATAATAGAATAATTCAGAACAGTAGTTCGATATTAAATATTTATTTTCATTGCATGTATCGTGACAGTACGTTTCTTAGTGATATTTTAAAACATTCATCATGTCGATCAAGTTTCATTATTTGCAAACATTCCATGTTATATGGTCGTGCAGTCTAACATTGGTAGATTTAATATCAGAACGTACTAAAATTACCCAACGCGAGTTTATCAAAGTTCTTGAACTTATTCCCAATTCTACGCGCTTTATATTTAGCCAAAGATACTGCAAGCTAATATTTGACTTCCTAATGGGATCCCCGCTATCAACAGCTTTATCGAACATTGTTCCAGAGGAAATCAAGAATAAGGCTTTATCTTTGCTTCCAAAATTTCTTTCCTGAAGATACGCGAATGCAATGTTATTAGCAAAACATAAATCAAACATAGATAATATTTTTCTTTAAATTTTTAAATCATACATCGTACGAGGCATCTTCTTTGAAGAATTAAGGTTATTGTAACTTCCTAAATATTGAATATTTCTCCAAGGAAAAAATTGTGAATACAGTCTGAATATATACGTTCAAATTTAATAGAAAAATATTTAATCGCGTGACCCCAAAAAATTCCAAAGAATCATCGATACATTGCGTTAACACGTTCAAAACCTAAAAGTGAAAACTTCTCAATCTCGAGATTAATTTTCTCAGTCCCCTAGCGGAGTAACCTGCCATTAAAGCGTCAAAAGGTAGATGGCTGTACCGTTTGCGCCCCTCAGTTTATTTCCAACGCCGTAAAGATCAACGTTTTCGATCGCGAAGTACCCGCCGTCGAGGACGTCATCGCCGCGAAGCACCACCGTAGCCGCATTTAGACCCGGGTTCGCCAGCCAAGCGTTACGTTTCCCCACCCCGGGGTGTACGGGACGCGCCGTGGTCGTGCGATAGGACACGGTCGTGTCCCGGTGGGGCCGGCGATTCGCGGGCAGTTTCCAAATCGCGCGCGTATCGCGAAAGAGGGACGCACCTGCACGCCGAACTGCTCGGCGCGCAGCTGCGACCTTCGACGCCCTTGTGCCGGCGAACGTGCAGCGCGACGCTCGTCCTCGTCATTTTTACGTCGTACGTACGCACGGTCGCGCGCGCCCGGTGCCCAATCCGTGCGGATCCCGGATCGTCCCCGGATTCAGTTGATCGTCGGTGCCGTTCGAACGTGGATTTGCTTCTCGCACCGGAACGTCGACACCGGTGCCAGACGCGTGTCGCGAAAAGTGGTGGAGTTCCGTCGACAAGAGGGTACGGCCGCTAACGACTCGGTCGGTGCCCCCCGTGAGCGTCTGCCCTGGAAGGGGCAACGGCGAAAGGATTGCCCGACGGAAGGACGGTGAGTGCCCGCGTGCGTCTTCCACCGTTTGTTTACCCCCGCTGCGAGAACGGGGATCGCGTACATGCGCGACGGACTTTAATCCCCGTGCACTCCGCGAACCTTTTCGATGCCAGGACATTATTAATCGCTTTGCTTCCCTCGGCGTAACGAGTGGAAGTATCGATTTTATTTATCGACGACAGTCGACGTTTCCGAACTCGTCGAACGATTGAGGTTAGACGGTTAGAGAATGTCAAGATTAACAGTATACACTACTTTACATTGAGATGTTTAACACGTTCACTGCAAAATTTAAATTCTTATTTTACAACATCGTAACCTACATAACCTAAAATTTGGTTTCGTAACCTTGTTACTTGTTACTAGTATCATAGTGGTAAATCCTGTCACTCATATATTGACGTGGCAATGAAAGTGTTGAGGGTTTGTGTTCGAACGAATTAAAAGTAAAATGTGTCAACGATCGGTGCCACGTTGGAAAAACACCGGTTCTCGTCCCGATCACCGAAGTTAAGCAACGTTGGGCGCGGACAGTACCAAAACGATTAACCGTTACGGTACACCGCGTATTGTTGGCACTTATTGCTTTTATTATATTATACTGTTTATATTACGCCTCTATCGGTTTTGTAATTGCATCGTAAAGCAAATGCACCCGGGAGTTCCGAAGTGAACTTGCTGTGCTCGACGTGTAGTTACACTTTCGGTTATTTGTTATTCTCACAGCGTGCAATGCAGAGTCTGTGTGTGTGTTTGGATGACTCCGTAGTTTGTTTTAGCATAGATGGATCGTATCTCGTGCTGGTAAAGATACGATCTCAAACTAGGAACCACGAAATTAATAATTTGTTTTTGACAAGAACATTGAATTAATTTTGACGATGAGGCCAGTGTACGGTGATTAACAGTGAACATTGACATTTTCTTTCGCATTTCTTTTCGTGTTTACATAAATTCAAAAACAATTTATAAATAACGCGAGAAACGAAGTGTATTTTTCGCGCGTACTATTACTCCCGGCGTTACGAAACAATTATCTCGATGCGTATCGCCGGTGACATTTGTTTAGGTAAGGTTTTACCATTATCGCATCGCGAACGGTATTGTGGCCGCGAGAGGAAACATGGCGGCGATCGGCGGTAGCCAAGTGAATCAGAGTCTCGAAAGGGACGAATCACGCGTTATTTCTGTTTACAGTGGACCCGTGTATCTTGCAACGCGACAATGCGTGCTAATTGCATTTTTGTCCTTTGGGTCGCGTGATTTCTGTTGAAATTAACAGCGTTTCGTTACCAAAGACGCTACGAGAGGGAGCGTATCGAATCGGTAGTAAAACCGACAACCTTCGATAGCTTGTCTAATCGCTACGGCCATTTGGACTCAGATTTGTCTCTCGTCGTCATCGCGAAACTTGCTCCACGTCTCGTTCGTTTCGATTCTTCGAGAAAAACTCTCGCCCAAACAATTGACGCGAAAATGTTTTCCATAATTTTCAGAAATTTATCATTTTTCTTCTTACCTCTCGCGAAACTTATCGGGATGATTTATTACTCTACTTTTTCGGTCTCGTGGGTGTACGTTGTTAGGATTTGCTCTACTTATAAGCACTTACGTGTGGTTGATCCACTTGCGTTACGGCGATTGAAAGACTCGCGATAATAGATTGCTCCAGATTCATATTGCGTTATAAATTATTGCAACTGATAACGCGCGTGCCAGGGTTTTTTTTTATTTATCGAACGAATTAATGCATCTGATAACGGGGCAACTGTCACGTGGCATTCTTGTCCCGCCCAATTCCTCTTATTGTCCCTGATTCAATTTACGTCGTATCGATTGCTATTATGTCAGCTGACAACGCACCAATATTATTCATTTTGGAATTTCGTTTTTTCAACGTTCGTCTCTTAAAGTTTCAGACTACATTGTACAATATACCTTTCACCACGCGTTTATTCAAGCAGATTTTAAAATAATATAAATTCCCTCCCACTGTCCGAAGCCCGTGTTCCAAAATGGCCGCCCGCCAAAACTACGATTTCAAAAACGCGGCGCGCTTCAAATAGTACGACAAAATTGTTCGTCCAAGTGACCTTGAAATGTCCTTGATATTTTTCCCCATGAATCAAAAAATCCCCATGCAACTAACATTTGCAATAAAGACACTGAATGGTAATGGATTACAAAGACACGTGTTTTTGATAAATAAACAATAAAAATAAGTCTTTCACGATTTCTTTCTATATTCGATAATAAATATATCGAACAATCTGTTATATAATATCATATGTTATCATCGTTCGTTATAATATCAAGATCGTTGACAGATATTGAGTAACGTACGAGAGAAAATTAGTTCAAAATGGCGACAGTTGAACGCGGTTCAGTTTCGGTGTCCAGAACGGCCGAAGATTGTTTCCAACGTGAGCGGAAACATGGAAATCGATCATTGTGTTCGCACAGTTTGTCGATCCGTCCTCCCATCGGTCTGTTCATTAATAATCGAAGTGTGTTCGTTGTTCTCCGACGGTATTGTACCATGCACCGAGCGCGTGGCGTTCCTTCCTCGTTGTATATGTGCACTTCGATCGTTTAAATAACAGAAGATAGCATTGTTACCGCTATTCTCGGACGTTCCGATTAGGCATCGGGATTTTCCTCGCGAGATTGCCCACGCTCGTTGCAGATGTTCACGCGCATTGTTGATAGATCCGTTATCGATATAAATACGCGATCTTTTTAGTTCTCTGTTCGCACACCGATGCTCTCGCGCCAGTTACGTTATGGTAAAGTTCGGTTATGGTCCGTACGGGATCTTAGAAATTTTTTTTTCACTCAAGAATTTTATCGCGAGGAATATTTCGGAATAAGAATTAATTTTATAATTTTTTCAAAATTCGTAAATCAACACTTTGACTGCCACGACATATTTGGGTGACAGAACTTTTAACAGTGGAATTAAAACAATGTTTTAGTTGAAATGTTAAAGAAAATCAATTTTAATAGGTTTTGTAAATTTTAATGAGGTTAGAAAAGTAACTATTACAACTTTTAAGTTGTGCAGTTTACAATTGCCTGAAATCAGAGTTTTGGTCTCGTAAACAATTTTAGGATTTAGGCAGTGAACGTGTTAATCGAGCATCCTTTTTTCGATATTTTCCACTCGAAATGCGAAACAAAATGCACGACTATTGTTACGATACCGGGGGTCGTGGCTGTTAGATGATGAAAAGAGACGTTAGCGTGTCGTCAGTCGCCGAGTGTTTTGTCTCGGGGAGCCCGTAAAAAAAATATTCTTCTCGCCTCGAATGCCTCGAACGTAAACAGCACCGATCCTAAGGTCGTTTTCTACGTGCCGCTAGCGGCGTACGAAAGCAATCTCGGATGGTTAAATTTTACACGTCTTCGAAAGTATCGCTGCGTCGTACGATTATCATGCATCGGGCACGTGATGCCAGCTAATCGTGGACGGTTTTGTTGGTGGCGCCCAGTAATATTGATTACTCTCTCGATCGTGTTACGATTAGCTAAAAAATGTCAACAGGACCAATTCGGAAAGTAAACAGTAGCGATACAATGCTTATCGTGCGTATCTTGTGAAAGCACGAAACAACCTTCGAAACGCCGTGAATTTTTATTTTCTCTTTTCGAGTAGAAATTGTTTCCTGCTTGAACTGTTTTCTGAAATAATAAATCCCCAAATTAAATCGTTTCTAAAGAAACGTAAGATTGTTTTTATTAAAAGAATCATAGGACCTTTATTTCGAACGATTTAAAAACTTAATTTTAAGCTCTTAAGTCCCACAATCTTCTCTCGTATTATCGACGATATCACGGTGCAAACAAACACTTGTATCGTTATTATTTAATTTTGTTTTCATTGAGTTACCAATCGGGCGTATTATATAACGTACAAGTCGTATCGATTTTAATAATTCTAGAGCGGTTTTAGACGATTGGTGACGAAAGTTATTGAAAGCTCGTCCGTCCGTTTGAATTGTTATACAACTGCTCGTCGAGACAAAGGAGCTGGCCACAAGCCAACGACACAAAGTAATTACAACAAATGACGGGAATTAAATCGTAATTTATACGCGACACTGGCAATAAATCGTTTTTAAACGAGCGGCCCACGTACGCGTACGTTCAAGATTACCGTCTAATTTGGTATTCAATTTACTTTAAATAATTTTGGACCGAATTAGTTGTCCCAAGATAGCGAGGAGTACGTCGATAATGACGCTCGCGTCATTGGTAATATATTTGCGTATCGTTTATCTCCGTGCATGCAAGAAGAAGACGCATAGTCGAGATAAAGCTCGTCGAATGTTTGATGTTGGTAACGGCGCGTGAAAAGTATTTGTGTCTCTCGTTACAATTATATCGCGAAAGGAAGGGGGAGTATCATCGTATATACGTTGTGACTTTTCAAACGACTATTTTAAAACAAACAGTCGATTTTATTCGACGTATGTTATTCTCCCTCCGTTTTGAAAGTTTCGCGTAAATTAGACGGAAACAATTTACACGATAAATATATTGTTCCAGAAATATAAATTTTTTTTCAACAATCTTTTAGAGTAACGAGGCGAATGGTATCTAAATTGCTTTTATTATAGCAATTTTAACGCGACCGTTCTATCGTATCGGAATTAAATTATAGTCGTGTTTACCTTAAAGCTTCGGTTTTAACGCGCCGCGTGATCCACGCGAACTTCTTCCCGATAATGTTAAGGTTAACGAAGTTTCACCGCAGAAGAATGGACTTCCTCGATGGCTAAGATCCTTCACACGTGTTTTATGGGGTTCGTCGAAAAAGTGTAATTGATGTTCAGCCGCGAATGAACGGCTAATTTACTTCCAACGTTGGTGTGCACCCGCCTGACCGTTCATTAAGTCTAACGAGAACCCCGCGCGAAAGAGGTTATGATGCCAAAGTTACAAATATCCACGAGAGTCCACCAAGTCGCTCGTGGGAACACCATCCTTTCTCCTAT